TTGAGATATTTACTTAATGAGCAACTGATAGAGAAACATACTGTAATCATCTGTGATGAATGAAGATACCAAGAAAACAACACCATTTAATGGTAATTATAAGTCAATATGTTGACCGATTTCGTTAATAGTTTCATTAATTTTATCAGTCATATTACGTGATTGTCAAGTTATGACAATGCTTTATGACGATATTCTGAAACTATTATGTTTAACTAGTTATAGTGTTGAATGAGGATTAGTCAGTGGAAAAATAGGTATTGTTGCTTTAGGTGATTCGAAGTTGTCAGAAATTTGTAACGTTAAAGAATCCGAGACGCCTAATTTATTTATAAATTCCAATTCCGAAATATTCGCTTAGTGTTAATTCTAGTAGGCTACGGAGTTTTGATTTGAAACGTTTGTTTAGCCAACAGCTACCTAGGGATTTAGTTACTTTACTAGTGCAGTTGATAGTACCTAAATTTTTAATCTTATTATCTAAACTATGTTCGCATTTCAGGCTGCTAATATGATAAACCAATCCATAAACCCAAATACGATTAGCAACAACGACTATGATGGGTTTATTGATAAATGTTAAAGGCGATCCAGATGATTTCTAAATTTAGAAGACATGGAGATATAGTGCAATGCGTGTGTGGGTCAGGTTAACATGCAGGTTCTTGACGTATATGACAATTTATAAATAATGAACATGACCAGGAAAAGTAATTTTAAAGTCAAGACTGCTTATGAAACTTCAAGCAGGAATGTAACGCATTATAAACTTTCCATAAGAAGTTACTGCATTTAGCCTAGAGACACTTACAAATATATGGGACAAGCAACTGGAAAACATATACATGTTAAGCACAACAAAATCGTCCAGTAAAATAGTTAAACTCGCCTGGATTATTTTTGAAAATTAGATTATTCAGTGGACGACATATATAAAGCCATTCGTCAGGAGTAGAAATGATCCAAAAGTATCCAGAATTAAACATGCAGTATGACAATCACTTCCAGGGTGCTTGATGCTGTTGAGGTTTTTGGGACTCGCTCTGATCAGAACAACTGAATGAATCCAGATAATTGTGTGTGCGATTGAATGAGCCATCTAAAATGAACTTATGATTGCAGAAAACTTATAGCTGGAACTCACCGTATTTTTTTTGGAGAAGTGTCATCCTTGTTGTTTGGCAATGGAACTCGAAATATGAAATTAGGCAGGCAGTGGTTGGAAGAAAAGATATTACAGGATAGTGCATAGTTTAAAAACAGGATGATGTGTTAAGTGAAGGAACAATAAGAATTAGATCCAGATAACTATCTAGTCCTTGATTGCATTGTTAGTCGATGTATATTCACGTTATTTTTAGATAGAGCTAGATGTTTAAACAAGTTTATTCCGCAGAAGCATGTAAATGCTATTAAAGCTTGTTAATGAACCATCAAAGCTAATTGATATAGATAACCGGTTATTGGTATCGATTGAGTTAGTATGTTATGAGTACTAACCAATATAACATTACGATAATGCTTGTGAGCATTAATCAGAGGACTATTAGAATAATGAATTTACACAAATAAAAGTCGATTGAGAAGGTTAAGGCGGATCTAAGGATTAGCAATATTAGGCTGTGTTTCTTTAGTTGGGCTCACCAATGTTGAATTATGGTCTACTATGATATTAGTACTGCTCTAATAATAGACCTAATCCTAAAATTGTAGCTTTGTCATGATATAACTGACTAATCTATAAGATCTTACGTGGAAGTCACACCATCGACTACACCAGCTTACTGTATCGTATCAATTACCAATACATGATGTAGAACAAGGTTAGTCTAGAGAAGGAACAATATATTTAATATGAATAGAAGATATAAGGTAACATTCAGAAGGACCACGCCTGCATGGTCGACCCATGCCATCCGATCAACTCCAATCCATTCAACTCATTCTCCGCGCCTTCCCCATTGTTAGGTATTTCCCCGAGTTAAATATTGAATATTTATTTTCCGAGTAGTCTCGTGTTCACAGCTTTGTGGATTGTGTGGCTATTGTCCAATGCCACTACAGGGTAATGATCGGGAGCGGTTTTAGTATTCATTGACCGATAGTCATCAGTTGCGCGCCAATAGTTGCTATCCGTTTTAGAGAGCATTGCAAGGGCTGTTCGGTGGTGCGGTGATCCCTAAGTCTATGGTGTGCTTGAATTCTTTGATGGTCAACCTAGGCTTTTTTGAAGCTAGTCGGTGCGCTTTCAAAAATATAGATGATATTTGCTATATACTGGGGAAGGATAAGTGAATGGTAACTGCTAGGAATTATTTATGGACTGTTAATACGTATATTATTGTTGGATAACTATTAAGTAACTATGTTATATGTTTATTCATGTTCCCTTTGTTATGTGGTTCCATTTGAATCCCTGACTATTATTATAAGATTTACTATTCTTAAGTTATTCTCAATTTGTTGGTTATCGTCTCTAACGATCACAGTTACTTTTTGGGTTGATCTTATGTAGTTGTTATTTTCTATTTTGTGGTGTCATGTGGTCTAATTTGCTCGTATTTAAACCAAGTATGTGTGAAATATATGATTCATGCGGTAGAAGTTGTGTTCTAGTCTCAAACAGGCAGGGCTAGGCTGAAGGACCAATCATGACTCAGAGTTGACTACAGACTGCCTGTATAGGTGAACGCGTCATTGGTTTGGTTCACTGTCAAGGTAAGATAAGTCAGTGTTCCTAATTGGCAATCTTATCACGTTATATAATAGCAAGCCTTTGAGCCTATAGATAACCCTCGTTCTATTGATAGAAGAAACCAGACTAGTAGTAAATAAGTATTTAGATCGCGTGGCAGTCACAGTGGAGCCGGGGATTGCTTGTTCAAACACACAAAGCTTTTCAGCATTCAGTATAAGATAATAGGGAATACAATGCCTATACAAAATAAGGAAGTGAATACATACTTGAGCTCTATTGCTTTGACATATAATTAGTTGCTTGAGGTAAACTCTTAACCAAACAACCTAAGCTGTTACAACGCCACAATAGTACTGTAGTCGTAATGTAGTGTGTAAGATTGCTGGTTACGCACTCTAATTTTGGCAGCGTTTCGTACAGTTCACAGCACTTTTCAAGTATCTGTTTGATTATGTGCTTAACGGTGGCTGAGCCCAAATGATAGCCAGGAAATAAGGTTCTACAAACAGATTATTTAGTACTTCTATAGACTAACCTCTGCCTGTTCGAGTCGATGAGTAGATTATCGCGTTGTAGCAGGAGTATACCAGTGATTGGCATAGAAATATCTACAACAATGAAAATCCCATGAAACGGTTTGCGTAAAACCACACTGAGGTGAATATATTCATTACCACATGTGGAAATCAGTTTTCTATTTACCCACTTGTAATTTGAAGACCGATTCAAGCAGACAAAATTTATAATTCACGGGAAGAACGCTTACCTTAGTGTCAATGCTGACTATCATAGTCACATCCATGTTGTATGACAGATGGCTATGCCCGACAGCCACGGTTGCCGCTAAGGTGTGGCGATAGGAAAGTTTCTCGAAATATTTTTCGTGTTGAGCAGTTTGAAGTCTGGGGAACCACTGGATTTTATGCAATTTCCAGAAGACTTACCATACTTATTGTGGGACAAAAACCAGTCACGATTGTCTGCCCCTCGTGGTCTAGAGACAGATCTTTGTCTCGATGTACTTCTTTGAGGAGTTTTGGAGCGTAGCGACCGTGATAAGTATTATAATAAGGAGAGTGTGACAGAGGTCTGTAGCGTCATTTTTTGTTGTTTGCTGACTTTTTCCCCAGAACAAACTTCTGTGCTAGGGGTTTTGGTGATTTCGAGTATCCGGTCAGTAGATGAGACCAGTTCGCCAAAGGCATTATTTTGAAATGAGACAAGAACCTCCTGCACCTGTTGGGAAGCTTAAACAAGAAGAGGTATCTAAATAAGTCTTCGTCAAAAGCCTCTTGATCAATGACTCCTCGCATGCATAGCGACATTTCTGTTGCTGGACTCTGTTGCAACCCAATATTGTGGAAGAGTTGGTTTGAACTTTGTCGGCCGGTTAGGTCTTTACTTTTGAGGATAGTCTTTTTTGTGTGTCGTCAAGTTCAGAAACGTCACTAGTGAATATACTAGGTGTGATGTATATTAAAATCGCTCAGTAGTATCTTCGCTACTGCGAGGAATTGTGCGTGTGAGTCTGTCACGTCGTGCTCATGGAAGCCAGCTTCTACTTAGCAGAACCAAGCCTCTATATTATCGGGCCAGAATGGAGTGAGTTGAAATGTGGTGGGCGAAAGTCTTCATTTCAACCAGCTTAGGTATCTGTCTCGTCATGAAGAAAAGAATATACAAATGGATGAGAAAAAATCTGGATATAAAAATCATTATGTTTAAAGATTAAGATTAAAATACTTCGTAATATTACAACAAGGAACAGATTTACACTTTATTGTTTGGTGTACCAGGTCACGTACGGCTCACCACTAAAAATGCCTTTACATGTAACAGTTTTTATAAATGGAGTACACCAACCCAGTCAAGTCAAAAGTCGGAAATGAGAGAGGTCTGTAGATGTATTTGTAAAGCTATAGATGTGTCGAAAAACATTTGGTTTAAGCTGGCCTGAAGTTGTAAGGAATGCGTAGAAAGATGTCCTCCTTTGTGATCTGGTGCGGATGTGTGAGCGAAAGCCTTCAGCTAGGGTGTGTCTATTAAAACTAATAAGGTCAGAACCAATGTTGAAGACTTACAGAGCTATTTAGTTTTCGGGACATATTTACCGCTACACGCTCAATTTTCACTGCTTTTTAAAACTATGTATTTTGATCATCTCAGAGTTTAAAACAAGAGTTAACGATTATTTTCATATAGAAATCTTACTTTTTAGTACATTATACTATCCTGGAGAACATTGTCTATGCTAGTTTTGATAGAAATTATTTGTCAATCGTCATCAGGGTTGTTGTTATTCACAAAGCCTGGCGCCGTTTTCAAACTGGGTTTCGTCTTTGAGCCAAAGATGTTGAATATGTATGGGACTATTTATAATCCACCCACTCACCTGTTTACTTCTTCTGTGAAGGAGCTCTCACAAGGTTATAGTAAGTTGTCAGACGAGTATTTTCCCTCGAACATGGCATTCAAGTCCTAAAAAACATCCGATTTTCCGATTGTTACTCTATGAATTGTAATTTGTCTGTAATTTTGTGAGTCGTTAAATTTGAATTAAGTGTTGGCTTCACAGCGTAGCCTTTTATAATGTTTACTCACTGTCATTTGATTCTGTTGCAACATAGATTTAAGTTTGTGCTTATACACATAAATAGTTAATGGAGGTAATACTCTTCGTTCGGGAGCTTAATAGTTTAGTCTGGATGTTGCAAAATGGCTTATCAATAGTTCATTCAGTACATGTGGTTCCACGTTTCGAAGGGAGCAGGACTTTTACGGATATTCAGTTTCTACCTTTAGGGATGGACAAAATTATCATTAGTGCTACTTTTTCAGACCTAACGCCATGGTCAGAAAATAACTTTAATCAGAGACACTGAGTGGTATCCAAACGAATAGTAAATTCGGTTACTACAATCAGAGTAAAGCACCAATTTTAAATGATTCCAACGGGTTTACGTTTTAGGTCTCAAAAGTGTCTTTCGCATGTTCGTGGGTGGAGAAAGGACATGCTGAATTTTGTGCTGTTTGATAGTAATGGAAGTCTGTGGCCGAAGTTTGTAATTCGGTGTCTGTTCCCATTCATGACTATCTTTTAATAACTAGCCGTCATATAATCATTTTAAACAGTACTAAAAATAAGTATCGCAAATACGATTTCATGGTACCTGCTTTGTTTTGCTTGTGTGTGGTAGGTTCATTACGTAATCCAGTAGCGTGTCTGTTAGTAATGCATCTACAGACTTTTCAACACAGCACATAAACAATCGTAAAGCATACTTAGCGAAAACAGCCGTAAATTAATTTATAGATTCGTTTTATTTGTTTATACGAAATTCCATCACCGATGCTCTTCATTCGTTTGTGTGTTTCGAGAGGGAGAGCTAACTCCCCTCATTCTCGGCCGTAACAGGGCATTTGGGGGCCGAAGTTATTGCTTCTTTAATCACTTGTCAGTTGCTGTCCATTGTGGTTTCATCTTCTAGTAGTTATTTTCAAACTTGGTACTGAAAGCCATGTTGAACTCACTGAGTTTGTTAAAATATCGAAGGCAGGTTGTGTTAAACTTTTGTACTGCTGCTTGTCCAATCGCTGAACGATCCCTTGGTTTCATTGTTAGTTTGGTTGCCACCAGGAGATGATCTAAATCATCATCAGCTGCTCTCTTCGTTCTCACGTCTTTAATGTGTTTTCTCAGTTTTTTTATCCATACAGATATGATCGACTTAATTGTCTGTAGTATGGTTCATTGAGATCTACGTAGCTTTATGTATTCAGTTCTGGGAGAAATGCTGCCACAAGTAACCATGTTGAAAGCACAGATCTACTAGTCTCAAGGCCCGTGCCACTCCATAGTACGTTATAACTCAGTGTTGCTCATCCTAACTTTGGTGTTAAATCCACTCATCAGGGTAGTCAGGTCTTTCCTTGGGCTTCTCTGGAATCGACTGCAACCCCATCAAATTGGTATTTATCATCACTTGGGAGATGCTTTGATGATCCGGGAGCTATGAGATTCCCATCCCATAAACACTTTAAATTTCTTTGAAAAGCGTCAGTGCATCTCATAATGTGTGGGAGACATTTTCTTCGTAACCAAAATACAGTAGTGGCTTTCCTGAAATCAGTCCTCTTTGTCCAGGTCGTGTCCACTAGGTTTTACTTTGAAGCCTAGTCTCATTTCTCCGACTATTTAAATAATCCTCTGGTTTTCCCACATTGTGCAAACATTTCATGTACTTATATTATTTATCTGGTTATTGGAAGGGTCCTCGGCTTCATGGATTCTTGAGAATCTCGACTTTCATCACGGGGCGTCATAATTCTAAATAAAAACTGTTCAACTCTCAGGATACAGTTTAGACGACTTTTTCTGACTGGAGTTTTCTTGGAGGGGTTTTTCTCTTGGGGTCTAGTTGCTAACCTTATCTCAACTCTCCTTCCTTATCCGGGCTTCGGACCGGTAGTATCACCACTGGGCGGAGTTGTCGATCGCGTACAAGTGGCTACAAATTGGGGTCTCAAATTTTTCTAGACTCATTAGAGTTTTCATAAGCGACTGTTGATATTGGTCACTGAATATGACGTATTACTCTTTTATGGCTTAGTAGTTAACGAATTTAAATGCTGAAATATGGGTTCAACCTGTGCTTCACTACGGTTTGGGCATCTGCACAATATCATCTTATACTGATGCAATATCGTGTGCCTCGTAGCCGAGTAATCCAACCCATATGTTTTTTTCTAGTCACCTCATCTTCATTTACCTGATTTAGAACTATAATTTTTCTGGATTAGTAATACTGACAAGACGCCTGTCTGTCATTGAAAGGTTACCTCAGAAGTACATAAACCTTGTGAAGGCTCTTTACTCGAACACCACTAGTTGAGTCAGAGCTCATGGCAAACTGTCATCTGCTTTTGAAACCTCAATTGGTGTCCGTTAAGACTGTCCACTTTCTCCATTTTCGTTTAACTTCATCATAGACCTACTAATGGAAATAACGCTCTCGTCGACTGAATTTTCGGGCATTGATCTACCAGGAGGTCTACTTATCGACTTAGAATACGCAGATGATATAGTCCTGTTTAGTGAAGACGCTGATAAAATGCAGAGTTTTTTGGCAGCACTGAGCAACAATACCAGAATATTTGGGATGCGCTTCTCCCCCTCTAAATGCAAGTTATTGCTTCAGAACTGGCCTGCATCAACACATGAACTAAGGGTAGGGAGTGAAGTGATCAAACGCGTTGACAACTTCATTTATCTTGGAATTCTGATCAGCCCTAATGGGTTGGTGTTTGACGAAATCTCAGCACGGATTCGAATAGCTCGTTTTGCTTTTGCCAACTTACGTCAGCTATGGCGAAGGCTAGATATCCGTCTATCGATTAAGTATACTGCGCGGCAGTTCGTTCTGTTCTACTTTACGGCTGCGAAACGTGGCCATTAAGAGTAAAAGATACTCGTGAGCTACTAGTATTTGACCACAGATGTCTTAGAAATGTTGCTCGCATCCGCTGGGATCACCAGGTAAGTAATAGTGAGGCTAAACGCACGGTATTAGGGGATGATGGTAAATCAGTCGATGGACTTGTGAATCTTCATCGACTGAACACCGATTACCAAGACGCGCAATGCTGACTAGTGTTGCGGATGGTTAGAAGAAAGTTAGGGGCGGCCAAACCAAAACGTCGCATCAGTGCTTGCAGTCACTAACTTCTAGCCTGAGCTATGTTGGTAGATGCAGTCTACTCGGTTAGGGTCTGCGTAACTATCGTAATCAATGGTTGGAGACTCTGGGTGACAAGACTTAATCGATCACAATGGTATAGGTGTATACACTCACTGTCTTCCCCTAAACTATGAGATTAAAATCGCTTCATACCTTCCTTTCTACGAACTAATCCTTTCTTCCTGTACTGTGTCCTTATATGCAGTTTTTCTTTCATATATTACCATCACTGAATTAACTACTTCTATGAGTCCAATGTTGATCTTGTTATGCTAATGGGGTATGGTAACTTGGACCGATGTACATATGTGCCTGGTCCAACATTGTAGCTGACTGATTGAGACGAATAGTCAATAACTTCGGTCAGTGATTTGTGATTTTTCTTAGTTATGAAAAAGCATATATTGATTCTATATTGTCAGAAACCCGCACTATCAGTACCTGACACATTACTGAAATATTCTGTTGTCTATCCTGCATGTGGTTAAAAAGACCTGTGATGCCATATATTTCACTCCCATTTTTGATTACTTCCTGATGTCTTATTCTTCCTGATTTATTCTAATTTTGAAGTAAGAATGTTTTTTATGTTCGTAAACATTTTTGTCAAAGAATAAATTTACAATTCTATCAGTCTTGTTAGCCGTCTAGCCATTCTAAAAGATTTGCGGATGTAGCTTTTGTTATCATATAATTCTTGCAAATTATAGATGCTGTCTCTGGAACTGTAAATTCGGGTCTGTCCAACATAACATCAAATAACCCAGTTAGTCCGGCCCATTGTCAGTCGTCTGTAGTCGGACCAATCGGGTGCGGATCTTCAGGCTCCACTGTTAATAATGGCAATCATTCTCTTCCACCCCTCTGTGGGATGGCTTCTAAAACACCTGGGGCTCCGTACGGGATTAGTAATGGACCGACTGAAGTTGTTCATAACAACATCAGTAATGGAAGTGCAGCAAACGGTAGTGGATCCTCTCCTCCTGTTGTAGGTGGTGTTGGAGACGCACCTCCTTTAAGTGTTGGAGGAGCTGGTAGTAGTGCAGGACCAGGAAGTAATAGCAGTGGCTCTGGTGGTGCCGGTGGATCTATTGGAGGGAGTGGGAGTGGACACTCGTCTGCGTCTACTCAACATCTTATACAATTCGAACCACCTGCTCGACCTGGAAGAGGTTCAGAGGGTCGCTGCATCAGTTTAAGAGCTAATCACTTTGAAATAAGAATGCCTAAAGGATTTCTTCATCATTATGATGTCTCTATCACACCTGAAAAATGTCCAAGACGCGTAAACCGGTAGGTTTATTGTTTAAAAATCTTAAATCACTTTAATTCTATATTTTAAAACGACCGTTCAGAACACTACAAATGACAGCTAATTTTGAATGATATGGTGACCTAGTTGTTCTTGTAACATTTCTCCCATATTTCAAATATTTTCACTTTTAATTCGTCTGGAAGTTATATTTTGATGTTGTTTGTTTATATTACTTGAGGAGGGCAGGAAACATTTACTAAAATTAAATTTTATCCCCTCTTAGTTCAACATAAACACTGCCGATTTCTTTGAGGATTAGTAGGTTTATTTCAATATTCTCTCTACGTTGTAACTAAACTTATGATGAATGGTATTTCATGTACAGTAAAACTCCAACTGCTCTCGTGAAATATACAAATTTAAATCTTGCAACAAGCACAGGTTTGCTCGACGTTGCAGATTCACTTTAGTAATAAGTCCTAACAAGTAGATAGACCTGACTTGAAGTTTCCTCCAGTCACTCAAAGCCAAATGTAGTAGACCATATATCCCAGTTATTTGTTTATTTTTATATTTCAGTCTTCAGTGACCACATAGTAAAGTTTGGTAACTCACTTGTTAGAGCATTTCGATTTCAGGTTTGAGTTGTGTTCTACCTACTTTAGCGCTCACACGAAAGTATAATACTAAACAGAGTACTTGAACCTGTACGTAACTACTGGTTCGCCTTGTAAAAAGTTCAGTGTTATTCCTCTATGTAACCTTGACTCATTCACTTTTATCGTTCTAACTGTAATTCGTTGTCCTAACATTTGTTTACTATTGTTTTAAAATAACTCCTAAAAACACGTAACAACTACAATTTCAGTGTGTGTCTGAAATATAGTGACAATAAACTGGGTGTTGTCAACTAATTGAAAATTCGAATTATTGTTAGTTGTCTATGCTCAAGGTACCCGTAACTAAGACTATCGGAAGAAAAATTTGACGGCTTTCTAACTGCCATCATCCGCGATTAAGAGGATTTAAGGGAATTATTTCTAATGATGAGTTCTGTTTTTATGATAGTCTTCAATTGTCAATGCCCTGTGTTAGTCAGTACCAAATTCAGCTATTTCTTAACTCGTTTTGAAGTGTGTTTCCAATTCGTCAGTCAGAATTTGTAGATTAATAGATTGCAATAAAATATGGTGGGTTAGAGTGTAGTGTGTTTTACCTGGTAAAATATCAAAATTTACTTTTTTTCCCGAGTTATTATAAACGTTTTACTTCTATTGAACTCCTTTCTAACATTTCTTTGTATATCAAGTGAAATAATCGAGACTATGGTCAATTCAATGCACTATCAAAAATACTTTTACAACCAGAAACCAGTCTTTGATGGTCGCAGAAATATGTATACTCGTGAGCCACTTCCAATCAGTAAGGAGAAGGTATGTGTGTTTTAGCCAATTTCAACAGAAGTATTACAGTAAATTTTATTTCTATGGTCGACTTTGTCGGTAAACTACTGTTATATATTTATTTTTGCGAAACCTGTTTTAATTATTGGCTTAGCTATAAAACTAGTTTTTTTTATAAAGTTTAACTTGCCAATAAGCAAAATTTACCAACTGTTATGATTTCTCTTATCGCTTAGTATACTTTGGACACTACTTCACTCGACACGCCCCCAAATCAGAACACGGTTGAACAGGAACGTAATTATATTCCAAATGAATAAGATTGAATGGAAGAAGGAGTCACAATAAGAAAAACATTGGCATACTTATGATTTTTTATGTAAGAAAATTCTATAGTTTTCTTCTAGTATCCTCTAGCGTTGATTGGTTAAGAAATAGCCAATTAACGTGCCCAGACACAATCCTGCACGGAACATGGCTTAATCGAGCCTATATCCCGCTACCACATCCCCGTTGAGTAGATTCGTAGGATCTGGTGTTAGGGTCCACCTGCAACCTCAGGTGGAACCACGAAATGACTAAATAGTCGATGTAGTTTTCTGACTTTAGCTTGCAGTTGGATGCCCTATGAGAACAATTTCTGGCCACTTGCTGTATACATCAAATTCCAAAAGGTAAGTTTTTCTATGAAGTGGACCAGCAAACTACAGGTATATACGCTGTCACAGTGACTGTGGTATTGGCTATAATTTCAGCTCTGCCTTTCACTGTGCTCTTGTTTCTAATGCGCAGTCGACACACGAACGAGATAGATGTTCCAATTGGGTGTCTAAATGCGGCCAGTATACATAACTTCGTGTTAACACATTCATCCGATTTATTCCAGTATGTCCTGCGTGCAACTGATCAAGCACTGCTGGTTGCAGCCTCTTTGGGATTATGGTACGTTCGGCAAACAAAAGACGGGTATCGATGATTGAGATAGTCTGCGCTAGTAAAACTGCTGAAGCTCTGAAGAGCTGATTTTCGAGGGCCACCCTTTTAGATGAAACCTTTTAACTTCTTGTTAGGCTGGATCTCGAAGAGTTTCTTCTCTGACTTCATCTGATGACACTGGAGTGTTTTGAATGGCATCTGTCACTACACTCCATATTTCTAGATTTCTAGTTCTGGAGGCAACGATCATATTTTCTGGTTCAGAATGTTGAATTCTAATCAATCGAGAGAGCGTCGGCTTGACCGATAGTATTTTTGGACTGATACTTGATGTTGAGGTTATAGCTCAGAACCATTGACGCCCAGAGCTGTAATCTGTTAGCCATATAAACAGAAATTTCTTTCTTAGAACCAAAAATTGCAATTAAAGGTTTGTAGTCTGTCAGCAAAGTAAACTTACAGCCGTAGAGCATTTTAGGGAGTCTTTTAACAGCGAAAGTGATTGCGATGTCTTTTTTTCGATCTGGTTGTAGTTCTGCTCCCCTGGGTTGAGTGATCTAGCAGCATGAGCGATTTTTTTGTGATCTGTCCGGAAACATATGAGATATCTGTGCTCCAACTCCATGACTTGAGGTATCAGGTACAACAACAATTCCCAAACTGGGATCGAAGTATGTCAAGAGAGGCTTTGAGCTGATGATTGATTTGAATTTATCGAAAGATCTTTGATATTCTGTTGACCATTGCCGAGGTTTGTCTTTTGATTGTAATTCATTCAGGGGACCTCTCACTGGATGGATTTCAGGGAGAAACGTGCTGTAATAACTGACCAATCCCAAGAAGGATCTTCATGAATTAACATCAGTTAGTGCAGTTATCTTCTGAAGGGCTTTTATGTTGCCAGGGTCGGGTCCACGACCGTTCTTATATTAGATGAAATCAAGATATTTGATCGAATGCATTAAGATGTACTTTTCTTTACGTAATTGGAAACTATACTCCATCATTCGGTTAAAAAATTGATGTAGTCGGTCATAAAGTTCACTCCCAGTTGAACATATAACTATGATATGATCTAGATAAGTTGCTGCTCCAGATATACTTGTTAAAATCGTATCCATTTGCTAAAAGATGAGAGGTACGGTCTTGATGTCAAATGGTAGGTGGGTATATTAAAGCAACCCTTGAAGTGTCAATAGTTAGAAGCTCTCTTGAATCGTCGTCTATTTCCACTTGCATATAGGTATCGAAGTTTATTTTTGCGAAACATGTTCCATCATTAAGCTTAGTAAACAGGTCTTCAGGAACGTAACAGATACTGACATGTATCCAGTAGAGCGTTTAAACCGGTTGAGAAGTCGGCACATATGCATATAGTTCCATTGACCTTATTATTCACTACGATCGGCGCGGGTCACTAAGAGTAATTGACTGATTAGACTACACCAACTTGTTGTAAACGATCAAGTTCTTGATCGACTAGTTGAAGAGCGGTATATGTTACAGGACGTCTCAGATGAAAAATAGGTTTGGCATCTGGTTTCATTGTTAATTGAGCTTTCACCTTGGTGCAGTGACCAAAACTATTCTGAAGAATAGGAGCGGATTTTCTCCTTAGCTTTTCTAGCAACCTTTCACTTGTCTTTTTTGCAAGCATCAGAGTATCCAATGATGAACTCGACACGTTGCAAACACTTTTAATGGCTAAACCAATTATTCCAAGTTTTTCTAGCATATTTAGACCAACAAGATCAAGGTTTGGTCGTTTTGTCAGATAACATATTCCTTCACAGCTATTTTCATTAAAGGAAAATTCACACTGTAGTTCGCAAACCAGTTTTAGCACTCCTCCCGATACGTGATGACTAGACAGCTTTGATGAATATTTATCGTTTAAATTGGTCCTCCTTCAGTGAGCGTAACTTGAACCGTTCACACTGTTGATATTTGCTAGGGCACCATAACCAACAGCCTTATTTACGCATCAAGTTGTGCTTGCTCTTGTTGTAGTATTCGGTTGAGCTGGTCATCTGATATAGACATCTTGGATGCGTTTTCCCTCTACCTCGTCGCCACTGTTATCTCTTATTGCTTAGTATTCTTGGATACTACCTTACTCGACAAGTCCCGAAGTCAGAAAACTAAGTTATTAAATTATAAAACGACAGTTAGCTCTAGAATGCAAGTACATTCAGCGGAGGAGTTCTGAATAGGACGAACCGCGTGTCATGGATTCAGCTGCTGGTCCCATTCCATCCATTCTATAAAATAATACAGTGATTCACATACGGTAGTCTGACACTTGTTACAGTTCTGTGCATTTTTCTACATTTATTCCATGGCTGGTCGAATGGTCAGTTATTGCCATAATGCTCGGCTTTCCTGTCTACACGATTGGGGCGTTAATTTACCTTAGACGAATATCTACACTAGACACCCTTCCAGTGTCTATTGTACAGGACTTCAACACAACTCTGATCAAGAACACGTGACTGGCCTGACTGGGACGCAAGTATATTTCCACACCGAAAACCAACAACAATCACACTCATAATATTGTTAGGATAATATATAACTCATCTGTTGCCTGTCAGACTATCCAGCAGTCTAACTAAGCAAACAACCAACCATTATCTTCCTCGCCCCCACATCAGTTAGTTAGTACTGTTCACTTATCTTCTTCCTGTAGGACTTATTAACACTGCCATAATGTTTAGGGTATTATGGTCGTGTTTAGAATTTCTAAAAGTTGTTTAGTCAAACTTGAAATCACCAAGGCCCGCATTTTGTTAAGCATTCACAGCTGATAGGCATGTGTCTTATATTAGTTCAATGATTATTTCTTTGCAGTCCAGTTTATCCTTCGGATTAGATGGTGTCAGTTAAACGGTATTTCGTCAACAATTTTGTCAGTGTTTGGTTTTGCTTGAGACACCTGTCAAGGCTCTCTTACAATGAACTAACTCATTTTTTTCATGTTTTGGTTGTTAGCAGATTATTACTACTTTTTACTGCTTTTTAGGTTGAACTGGAAGTTACTCTACCTGGAGAAGGAAAAGACAGAGTTTTTCGTGTTGCCATTAAACATGTTTCAGAAGTCTCTCTTTTCGCCTTGGAAGAAGCTCTAGGTGGTCATAACCGACATATTCCAAATGATGCTGTCATATCGTTGGATGTTATCATGCGTCATTTACCGAGCATGAGGTAATCGTTTTCTTATTTTCAATTTCATTTTCTTTTGTTATTGGCATTGTGTAGTGTATCTTATAGTTTAGGTGCTAAAATAAAATGTCATCCTTTTTAGAGTAAAACAGTTTTGAGCAACTTAGAACGTATTAAAAGCACATCTCTTAAAGTCAATCAAAAAGTATAGAACCTGGTTCAACAACAGATTAGTTCAAACTTTTATACTTGAGCTGCATACCAACATGTACAAACCTTCTTAGCAATTAAAAATGAAAAGAAATTCCCTCGCTCGATTAGTTCCTTTTTTATTTACCAAATGTCAAAATGGGAATTTTCACTATATTAAAAATGAAATATAACTTGTTTATTGTGTTTGTGTGCTTACGTTAACTGAGTTACATAAAGCATGTGTTGTGAATATCTGGTCATCACTAACTCTTCGCGAAATCACGACTTGTAATAAATGTAGGTTGGGTTAATTATGAAGCCGATCATGTCAGTATATAACATCAGCATATAAAGCCCCCGACCTTGGTATGAGACACATTGAAATGTTAGAATTTTGGTATTGTAAATCCTTACTCGACAAGTAGAAATTAATTGTGGTGGTGCAATTCTATTCGCTTGATCATAATTCTTGAGCATCTTTTCTAGTTTTTAATTGGTCCATTCCTCTTCATTGCTTTCGAAACAGTTTTAGCGATTTCGTTTTCAGGTTTTTTATAGTCTCATTCTGTTGCGTGATGTGACGACGTAAACTAATGCGGTTCAATGTCACCTGATAGAAACAGAGGCTGAGTAGTCTTTTGCGTAGGTGTAATAATTGTAGGTCAGTTAATTAAGTTATTCAAATTATACCTACGTGGATGGTTCAGAACTTCATGACCTATGTCGAACCGTTGCAGCATATGCTAGAGTAGGCTTAGTATGGGGTAGAAACATATGAGACTGCAGTTTCTAGGTGATTTCCACTTGTTAACAATCAATAGCTTCAAATCAATCCCAGTAAAATAGAGATCCATCCACTCTTTTCGAATTTTTCTGTTCTGTAGTATAGTGTGGATTCCAATCATTGATTCTTTAATTTCATTGGTTCTGTTCATTCGTTCTGATTTTCACGAATAAATCACTATTGTTGAAAGTAACTAAGATATTTACTACCATCATAAATTTTAAAGTTTATGAGAAATTATTTTCACGTGTAGTAAGCTAAAATCTTGAACAGAGAATCATTTTACGTATTCTCCTTGTTATGAGGATCCTCTTAATGTTAGTTACAAAGATCAGTTATATTTATGTAAGTATATATCGCGAGTGGAGGAGTTTTATTATGCTGTGTTAACTTTGCCTAGATTCCTGATAATACTCGTAGTTCAACATTTGTGCGATACAATCCATCACTCATGTTTTGATTCTATTAGTTTACAGTTAGTGAAAGTAAATATATCGAAAATATATGAAATGTCGACCATTAATCGCTGAATTTCTTTATTCATATTAATAGCTACACGCCAGTTGGTCGATCTTTTTTTCAAAATCCTGATGGATATGAAAATCCTCTCGGTGGTGGTCGAGAAGTATGGTTTGGTTTTCATCAGAGTGTTCGACCTTCTCAATGGCGTATGATGCTAAATATCGATGGTTAGTTTTGTTTGTTGGAATGAAATTAGTTACGGAATTAATACTATTTATTTATATTTTATATTTGATGAAATATTTACCTAAGTAGGACAACTCCACAGCTACTAAGTGGTTTTCCTAATTGACTTAGTGTTTTAACTCGGTCTAAAGGTGTCCTGTTCATTGAGAGTTTTGAACGTTGTATATATTTAACCCAGTTAGTGGGAGGGTGGTGGTTATGGATATTCATTTTCGGGCAGTCCAGAAGTAGAATAAACAGTTATTCACTGCTTCTATATTCTCAGTGGTTCTTAAACTGATCTCAATCAATCACGAAAGCCATCTTTCAGTTGAATTAATCTCCATCACTTCTAACTTAAAAAGTACATGCTGTATTATGTATTGTCTGTCAAATAAATCGGGACATTATTATCGCTTTAATGTTTTCTATTTTTCTATGAAAAAGGCAAACAAATAAAGATTTTAACGTCTGAAGTCCATTTTTTCTATTTGTCTATTTCATTGTCCATAGTTCACCTACGATAAAAATAAAGTTACAGAAAAATTTGATCAAATCCAGCTGTTTTCAAATATAGTAATATTTTGATGATTATTATCATTAATATTGTTTCTTCTCTATGAACTGAATAAAATTTACTGAATCGTTTTTTCCCTCCTAAATTGTAGTATCTGCGACTGCATTCTACAAAGCACAATCTGTTATTGATTTTATGTGCGAAGTATTAGATATATCGGATAAGAATGAACAACGTCGACCATTAACTGATAGTCAGCGAGTGAAATTTACGAAAGAAATTAAAGGTAGTCTTATTATTTTTGTTCTAGATATTATTTTACTTCATATGTAGCCCTGCCTGTCCCAAGCCCGGATTGGGCTTAGGGTTAGCAACCCCATCCTGTAGAAAACAACCTTGCTAAAAAAACGTTTACCTGAAAAAATCATGTAAACCATTTAAACTATCCCCTAGGAGTTGGTGGATCTTTATTTAAGAGAGTTGTGGCACCTCATGATGAAAGCCTAAATTCTTCGGAAATCACGAGGCCGTTGCTCTAACAACCAGAGCAACTATTAATACAGGTATATGAAATATCCGGACAATGTGGGAGACCAGGAGGACCAGTTGAATAGATACTGAGATTATTATTATTATTAGTGGCTTTATTCAATACTATATTTTTGGTACAATATAGAATTCCCGGCACAAAGTATTTCAACAAGTTTCCTTTTCTTATTTCTTGATCAACCCTTGCGATAAATATTGACTGGTCGCCAGTTAGATGTTAGCAGTTCAGGAATCGACATCTGATTAATGTATATTGCCAGCAACCTCGATGTCTCTGATTGGGCTCTTTTGTAACTTGTACAGCGAAGTGTCGTAAACCTTTCACAAACGCACTTGAATAGGTTACGCGACAAACAGGAAAACGGATAACTTGTTGAAATATCCAGATAGCAGGGACAGGTAGCCCAAATATTCACGCAGGCCACCTTGGTACGAATTGGCGGTCCTCAGAATATGTGAAACACATTGGACTCAAGCTGTATAGAAAAGATAAACTTCGGGAGGGATGCTTTTGTACTCTGATCGTGAAGGAATTGCTTTGTATACAAGGAACTGCACTGATGCTGTCCAAAGAAGCACGAAAAGCACCTATAGGATAGAAATCTCGTGAATCCAGAATCTTCAAAGCATCCTTCTAAATAAAGAAGAAAGAGATTAAAGTGAATAGTTATGAGAATCCAGAACTTCAGGTGAGACAAAGAATGGATGCACCTGCGTCATTGCAAACGATTTTAAGCCATGTCATTCAAAGTCTCTAACCATTGGTTACGATAATCACGCAGAATGTGTAGCATAACCAAACCAACTTAAAGGTTTGAGGTTTCTGTCCTCTTCAACCAGTTTATCATTTCTATTTGAGCTTCAGTATGGTATTCATATTCCATGAAGACTATTTTAATCCTAAAGCCTAAATTCTAACCATAATCTTAAGTGTCTAATGTTGATTTTGTTATTAAGACTGATCATCTACATCTGATAGGCAACATATTGTTCTAATAATATATTCCATGACTTTGATAAACCTTACTATTTTCTGATTAGGTCGCCCTTATTCTTTATATTTACTTCTTAACAGTGCTCACTTAATGGTTTCATTGTAAAGTGGTAATGCTTCGAAGACACATGTAATCAAATTTTAACAAACTAGATGTTTTACAACTATATGGTAATACAGAGAAGATCAGTGTTCAGTATACTCATCTCTTGATAGATATACGAACTACTCATTTATGCCTTAGACGGCTTAGATAAATTGACCAAATGTAGAAATCATTTTTGTATTCGTGTTCGGTTTTGTGTAATTTTGTTTAAAAATAACAAGGAATCGTTGATATTTGGTACTCCTACCTGACTATTACCCAGAATACACTTCACAAATTAGGTTAAAATTTGTCATCTAACTATTGAGAACCCACATGAATCGAATATGTAATCATATAGATAAAAATGAAAGGCAAATTAGCTATAAACAATTTCAAGTGTATACTATTTCCAGTATTCATAGAATTGTATAATTCAATTTCTCGTAATTTTTTCCCTTCATATTAAGGTTTAAAAGTTGAGATCACTCATTGTGGTACAATGCGACGTAAATATCGTGTGTGTAATGTGACACGACGACCTTCTCAAACTCAATCATTCCCTTTACAATTAGACACTGGTGCTACAGTTGAATGTACTGTTGCTAAATACTTTCAAGAACGTTATAATATACGCCTAGAGTGAGGATTATTATTATTTAATTGATATTTTTATTAGATTTTATTGCATTTGTAACTAGATGTTATTTTCCAGTGCTTGAATGTTTGTTCGTTGTTTGTCTACTGGTTTCAGTTACAGATATCTTTTTTTAAAGCTGTTACAACCAACTATGAGTTTAACACAACTTATTCTAACTGCTAGATATTTAGAAGGTTGCTTCTCAGCATCTTTATGCTGGGGGGATATCCAAAGTATTTCTCAAAAATGTCCAGAGGGGTCATGCAAACACTGGAAAACATTTTATCCACCCAGGGTTTAACCGGAATTTCTCAGAAACATTTGGAAAGTGAAGAGTCACGTTTCTGATTGGATGGTTATTTATCCTGCTACTATATTTAATAGGGTTCCAAAACCTTCAATTTTCTTGTACATAAACTAACCTCGGAGTAAAGCGTTCTTTTCACGCTTCATTCCTTTTCTCTTGTGTTCAGGTTGTGTAGAAGAGCTTAGGAAACCGATTCAAGCGTTCAGTCAGATTTATCACTTCATCAACAAGGAATAATTATAAATTCAAAATAATATATCGATTTTCAATGTGGAATAATTCTTCGACATGTAATATAGAATTAAATCGGTTTCTTAAAGAGAAGTTGCATGAATGATGGTCGTCCGATATAATGGGATAATGACAAATCTTCAGTTCTTATATTGTTAAGAACTGTAAAATTGCAAGATTACGACTTTAAACACTGAATATTAGGATTTACAAATTAGTTTATAAACCCTCTGCTATCAGTTGATGGCAATCCTTGATCTGTAAACAATTTATTCCTATTTCACATCTTAAATTCGAGAAATTTGTTACTAAGGTGGTTTTTTTTTAAAAAAAATCGGTTTCTTCTCCCAAAATTTCCGGATTCCCTTTCATCATCATTGCGATGTTCTAACTCTATGCTTGTATTCACAGTAACTTATTTCATAAAGTTTTACTGATTATTGGCGCAAAAATTTCCTCATGCTTCCCACTGTAATCATTATCGGTTAGGTAGTTAACAAGACGGTCAGACGTATATTTCCCCTTCATTCTTTTGGTTATCTGCTAGTAGTTGAGACTAAAAGTAAATCAGCGTTAGGCGATATCAGTTTTTCTAAATGGGACTCAATAATCAAAAATATCTCTGGTTCACTTAGCTTTAAACCACATATTTGTTTGATTGTTAGTTATAATTCAACTATCTAAATCAAACCAGATAGGACAAAGTTTGAGCTTGGTATTTAATGACTGTAAGTTGATTGGTTCAACCAATAAGTTACCACTCACAGTTACATATTACTGTTTGGAGCATTGACTTAATAGTGAAAACATTGACCATTCAACAAATGGATTGAAAGGCTAAACGCCGCATCTACATTTTGGTCTGGATAATCTAATAGTAAGATTACCTTCCACGCAGTTAGTGCAGTTCAAAACGGAGTACAAAAATCCTGTATTTCGTAAGTAAGTTATATCACATGTCAATGTGTCACTACATATTATTAACTTCTTATTACTTTGTTTTACTACTTGTAAGGTAATTTCGTTTTCTCAATTTCCTTCTGAAATTTATAGCTACCCTCATTTGCCATGTCTTCAAGTTGGTCAGGAACAAAAGCACACGTATTTACCATTAGAGGTTTGTAATATGGTAGCAGGTCAGAGATGTATTAAAAAGCTAACTGATATGCAGACATCTACTATGATTAAGGCTACAGCTCGTTCAGCCCCCGATCGTGAAAAAGAAATCAATAATCTTGTAAGCCTATTCAATTTTAACTATTCTTTTTTTGTTCGTTATTCTTTATCCCCATGGTTTGTCTTTTTTTAAATAAGGAAAATGTAATTATCCATTTGCTCACACGAATATACGCAGATATTTATATTTGGTATTTTGGCAAATTGACGAAGTACAATTTGTTATTATTTCTGTTAAATTAGTGAATACATATTATCGTTTGTTGTCCAATTTAGTTTACGTACACTTAATTTTCATTTACCTGCTGTATAGGATTGAGGCAATCTATTGTCTGTTTTGCTTTATCCAACATGTCATGTTCAAACCAACATGCAGACCTAATCTATGAAATTATCAAGTGAATAGTAATGAATCCCTGTAAAAAATCATTATTTGACTGTTGAAAATGTTCAGTTTTAAGTTAATCCTCTTCACTCAAATAACTGTTGAAAATATCAAAAAATTATGAATAACTATTTTGTCCGTACTTTTCAACTGTGAATCTTCTATGAATTGCATTATCTTTGTTTTTACCTATAACGTTCAGCAAAGAAATCAATAGGGTTGAAGTTGTCCACAACGTTTTTAATGTTTCATAAATGTGTTACATTTAACACTTTCTGCCATTTTCCCGTTCATTTAATGGGCGAGTATGATATCCTAGTGTGTAATTACCATTTTAGTCCAAGTCCTAGCTTTTGCTTTGTTTTTGTATACTTCATTCTGTGTTCTTGGCTATATGTTAAATTTTACCATAGACAGTTGCATATGACTTTAGACTCTTGAAATGAAATGAATTTCCAATACTCAACCACAAAGTGAATAGAAAAATGACTTAAATTTTTGGATATGACGTAATGAACATTGTTGACGTTGAGAACAACTTGAGCCTGGTAGAGACAGAAACAATGTATTCATGCGTTATATTTACGTCATACTATATCTTGAGGTTTTTAAATCCTAACTAATCGTTACCTTAAAGTATTTTATTCACTCGTGGAAAATGAACTAGTTGGGTTAAGTATTGTAACCCGATACTTGTATGAACTTGACAGATAACCTTTACTATGTGATGCATAATGTCCTCATACTACTCATATATAATAAAGTAGTGTCTTGCTATTATTCCGTGGTTCTTAGTTTTGCATTGGACATGTTAAACTTGGGATGTTTTATAACGTCTTCTAGTTTAGGAAGTACTTTCGGCACGTCTTTTCTTTCTCTTCTCTTTAATCAATTTATTCTTTAAATAAAAACAGGTGAAGCGAGCTAATTTCAATGCTGATCCTCATTTACAAATGTTCGGCATTAATGTTAACACACGTATGGCTGAAATCCAGGGTCGAGTCATTCCTGCGCCAAAGATTCAGTATGGTGGACGTACTAAAGCTCAAGCTTCTCCACAGCTTGGTGTATGGGATATGCGAGGTAAACAATTCTTTTCAGGCATTGAAATAAAAGTTTGGGCCATCGCTTGTTTTGCACCACAGCGTATCGTTCGTGAAGAATCACTCAGGTTGGTTATTGATTTGTATCACTTCAAAATAATTTATATACATAAATATGTATTCATTATTTGATGATATATTCAGTAAATATTCCCTGACAAGACTGTCTTCATTAAATCCCGTGTAACTTATCAAAGCGACCAATTATCTAATTTTTTGTAGAATGCGTCTAACGATTAAACACTACTGGCTTATTTCGTTAAGCGATATGTAAATCTGTAATTTTGGTCAATCAGTTTACGAAACTTTTAAGTCTAACCTAAGATTTATTCTAATGAAATTAATAACTGCAGTGTGTTGATTTGTTAGTTTAGATTTTCTATCATCTTTGTAATATGAATCTGTGATATTCTATACTTAGTATGACAGTTGTTATTAGGTTCTACTTCAGTTTTCACAATGCTATTGTGTACGTATGACAGGAATAGTTACCCCCATATTTATTAATTTTTTGCGACAATTTAGCTTTGGTGAATGTTGGATTGAAAGGATATTCTTCTGTTATATAAACCAATACACAAATTCCTATCTAGGCAACTACTTAATGCTTTCCCTTTTTTGAGCGCAATTTATTGATCGATCTAACTACTGTTACTACATCGCGTAGAAGTCATGTAGTCTGATTGATGAATTTCGGTAAACACGATTTATAACTATAGAATAATATAATGGTCTATGTGTAGGTTTGACTGCGAATAAAAAGATATCGTAGTTAAGGTGTTTAACTTTTTGCCATTAAGTTCCTGGTTTGGATCTTCCTCTGCTTAAATCAGTATAAGGAGCCGGGTTGTATTATTAGCCTTTGCACTTAGAGTGTGGCTCATATCCAAGTATCTGGTGATATATGCCAATTATTTACTATAATACTTGTAAATACAATTACACTCTTTTCACTAATGACCTTTTTTCAAGGTATTTGATTATTCAGCTGATTTTTGCCTTGTTCCATTTTGTTTTCTTACACTTTGTATGCTTAGACTGTTTACTCTACAACTTCAGAAAATTTCCAATGATGCTGGTATGCCTATTTTAGGACAACCTTGTTTTTGTAAATATGCTACTGGTCAAGATCAAGTTGAACCAATGTTTCGATATTTAAAAAATACTCATGCTGGTTTACAGTTGATTGTAGTTGTTCTTCCTGGGAAAACCCCTGTTTACGGTTCGTTTTTTCTCTCGTTTTAATTCACTTTTAAATTAATTACTCTTATGTTACTTATTTTTACTGGCTAAGTAATATTGAATGTTTTGTAGAAAAAGAAATGCGATTGTGAAAAATAAAATAAAAGATGAAGTATTGTGTCGATATGATCTCTAGCGAATGCCAATGAAGATTGTATTTATAGTTGACTGAGTATCCTCTGTAGGCTCGTCAAATCACTTATAAAAATAGAAGGCGAAAATTCTAGCTTTGAGACGAGTATCAGTTATTTATGACAATCAGGTACATCACTTCAGAGTTATGAATTAAAAAGATACCTTAAGCGAGAATTGAAATCTCAGTGGTAAAACTACACTATGTTGGACGACATTAAGCGATTAACGAAAAATAGTTAGTCAGAATGCAGCTTCCACAAAAATAATTAAATTACAGAGGATTCGGAGTTTTAACTCCATGAATAGATCTAGTGGTACCAAGTACCTATCATTTAGGTTGGAAATTACAGTCATGTAATCCAACTAGACCATAATTCCTAGCTTTATATCTTTTAAAACCTAACTCCTAAATTTTCTTGACCCTAGCTCTTCATTCCACAGGAAGATGATCATCCAATTTTTCGGAAACACGAGCTATAATGAAAGTCAAGAGTTCCAGGAGGAAAATATCCGCATTAGCGTTTTAAATTCGCGCATCGAAAAAACCTAAGTTTGATTAGTCACTCAAGGCCGTCAGTATAGTTTTACAGTTACAGTCTTATTATTCTCTATACAACTATTCCGGTCATTAATTGATAAAGATAGTATTTTATCTTGAAATTAGACAACTATTATACTTCTACTCGCTCATTAGTTTTTTTAATGCCCAATCCATCACATTTATGCACACAGCACTAAAAGATATTTCGCACAAAATAATATGTAGACACTTTAAGGAGAGAAATTGTGTGGTAATGTCGTAACTGACCTGTGTTATGCTAAAGAGGCTAAATGGATAATTTACTCACGAAACTCACTTCCATATTTCTACCGAATATATGTTGAGAGACCGATACATTAACTATTGAGTAAATATTATGTGTTATGGAAACCATGATTCTATCGTTTACAGAATATTCAACCATCATTATGTAAACCTGAATTACTTACTAAACAACATAATTAAGATGAAAATAAAGATCATAGAACGTGGTCGTTATAGATTCCTCCTTGCCCGTTTTATCGAAAATAACTTTAAAATTTAGTCTTACATTCGTCATTTCTCACGAAAAATGGGAGAATATCCTAGCGATATAGTCATATCATTTCACTTTTTTGTAAAGATTCACATTGGTAGATCAATTACGATGTTTTATGTATTCTTTGGTTTCAGCTGAGGTCAAGCGCGTTGGCGATATTATGTTTGGTCTTGCAACACAATGTGTTCAGTCAAAAAATGTAAATAAAACATCACCTCAAACACTCTCTAATCTTTGTCTTAAAATCAATGTTAAATTAGGCGGTATCAATTCTATTATCGTTCCAAGCGTCCGACCTGCTGTTTTCCGTGAACCAGTTATCTTTCTTGGTGCAGATGTTACACACCCTCCAGCTGGTGATAAAACTAAGCCAAGTATTGCTGCCGTTGTTGCTAGCATGGATGCACATCCAAGTCGTTATTCAGCTACTGTACGTGTTCAATCGCATCGTCAAGAAATTATACATGATTTATATCCAATGGTTAGAGATTTGTTACTGCAGTTCTATCGAGCTACTCGTTTCAAACCAACTCGTATTATTTACTATCGAGACGGTGTTGGTGAAGGTCAATTTTTAAATGTAAGCTTCTGTTCAAGTTGTATTACTCTTTTTTTCGGCAACCTAGGATATGATTGTAAATTTATACCTATATTTTAACTTGAATCGGCTACTGTACCGACATTGAAGGTTATACTTTAGTCTCGTAAGTGTATAACCACTGAACATCAGTAACTACACATGCTCCTGACATGGTATATCACATAGCTACTCAGTATTTGAACCTGTATGGGTTGTTTAATGGCACTTTTATCATATCTTTTATTAATCCTGAAGGGCTTGAGAATAGTGCTTCATCTATTTTTATACTTTTCATCTCCCTTAGAATGTTTTTTGACATACATTTATCCCGATCCTAAGTTTTACAGCTTCCTTATATTAGGTTTTAAAGATCCATCCATTTTTTAATATTATTTCTACCTGATGACGCTTTGGGTTTCTGGTTATATCAAACTAAGTTTCTTCAAGATGTAACTCAGTAAATATTTGAACTGTCCTAACTTCCGTTATCAACGAATTAAAGACTGTATACACTCTGGTCAACGAATTACCATAGTAGTTTATTTATTTATTCATATTCGTCTAGCATACAGAATTCAACCTATTAAAGAAAGCATTATGTTCAACAGTGAACTATGGGAAAGGAAAGCAGCTGGTAATTTAATCAAATGTCATAAGGTTGCTATATTTATTTGGAGTTTGTGACTTAATGAGTCCTGAAAATGTCTTCTTTCAAACTACTGGATAATTTGTTATTGTTATGATTTTATGTCCAGCTTTTTATCACGTGACTTATCCACCAATCAAAATGCGACTTATACAGTCTCCGCACTGTGCCAAACCAATGACGTCCGACCGGTATGAGCAGCCCAGCGTCTTATGTGATCCTATGTCTGCCTAGCCCGTCCACTTGAGTCCACAACACAAACACTAGCTTCTGCAATATGAATCATTTATCTCAAACATACTCGGTTTATATATCAACTATACAGACCACAACGTACCATAAAATAGAAAATAACATTTGTACAATATTTGGCCAAATGTGGCTGTGAACGTGGGAGGCAGTAGTCAATAAACTGAACATAGCTTAAGAACCGTAAATCGTACAATAATAAATTATAGGTCAAAATAAAGCTTATAATAGGAGGAATATAAATATACATAATCCAATTATTGAATAGTTACACCATAAGAATATATAAATAATATTAGTCAATTAATGTCTCAGAAGTTACCCGTGATTTAATCTTCGCTGGGATATAACAGTTATGGGTTGATAACTGTTAGGAACCAAAGAAACAGTAGTTTTGCACATGATGGGTTGTATACAAATATGTTGATTCATCATTATTTATTTGTAATAATTTATCTAGAATGTATTTTAGTTTGGAGTCAAGTTTTACCCATCCATCTATTATCTTATTTTACACCGTTGAACAACTTCTGTTTCTCTTAGGTTTTAAATCATGAACTCCGTGCTATCCGTGAAGCATGTGTCAAATTAGAATTAGGCTATCAACCTGGTATTACTTTCATTGTTGTGCAAAAGCGGCATCATACACGTCTATTTTGTGCTGACAAAAAAGATCAGATGGGTAAATCTGGGAATATACCTGCTGGAACAACAGTTGATCAAGTTATTACTCACCCAACGGAATTCGATTTCTATTTGTGTAGTCATGCAGGCATTCAAGGCACTTCACGACCTAGTCATTATCATGTATTATGGGACGATAATAGGTTAGTTTACTATTTTTCCCAGTTCATTTAATGATTTGAATTATAAATAATTTAAAAGCAAGATTTATTTTCTTTCATCATAAATGCACGAATTAGCGAGCTGATCTGCTAGATTTGTTAATAATCGGCATCGTTAAATTCTGAAATTTCATGGAATGTTAAAATCCGTTGATGAAAAGGTAGAACGATCGTTGACCTGTTGTGTTGATGAAAAAAAAATCGAAGTATCCAATGTCTTATGTTTACCGATCACTGTTTAGTGGTCAGAGTGATGACTAATGAACACAATTAAATCAAATCATTTTAGGTTGGTAAAATTATATGACGAGATAGTTCGCAAATCTGACTTCTGTGAACAATTGAAACTGATATGGGTCAGGTGTATTATCACTTGTTACACTTGTTAGACCTCATAGCATATATAATTACTGACTAGTTTAAATGTTCAAAGAACCACTCACTGGTTGTATTATAAATTTAACTTCCTATTTCCTTTTCACTCCAAAAACCACGAGAGTTGTCCTTCATTTCTACCACGATTAAAACAGTTTTCTTTCTGTATAAATTGTCGTTCTTTCAGTATGCTAGTTTTTGTCCTACTTTCAAGTTCATTTTATACAGCTGTTTATACACATGTCGTATTTGCTTAAGTTATATACAGATTTATTGATAATCTTTATACTATTGTTATAATTGTCTTTCATTTTCCTGTTTCTTTTTTCTTGGTAAATAGATTTAGTGCTGATGATATACAAAATTTAACTTATCAATTATGTCATACATATGTACGTTGTACTCGTTCTGTGTCAATTCCTGCTCCAGCCTATTATGCACATTTAGTTGCATTTCGAGCACGATATCATTTAGTTGAAAAAGAAATAGATAGGTTAGTTTAAAAATGATCTGATTTCATTATGATTTATTTTATTGATTTGATTAGTTACGTTTAATCCCTGTGGTTACATTATTTCCTGGTATAAAACTGTTTAAATGCTTGTTTATTTTGTGAAATCTCTTAATACCGCTGTTCGTGGTGACCAGCTTGGAGCAACATAAATTCTGTCATGACAGTTTATCTTTTCAGTATTAAATGGAGTTCTGTTTTAGGGTTAATAAGGAGTACGTTACTATCGGGATTGATATTTTTGAATTTTTTTCATCTTCAGTAAAAGGTCATCGCTGGAATTGCTTGCTATTTATGAGATAAGCTTTACTACCACCGTACTCCAACATAGTCAACAGTACGACTTCGTCCTCAAACCTTGAGTTTAGTCTGTTTTTAGTCTTACCATTACCCAACCGATCTGTTGAAGTGATAAAGCCTTAAAAATGCAGGTGTCTTAGCTCGATTGTCTCTTCACTATAGACCATCTCGTCGGAATCGTCAAGGTATTAACCATAGTCAAGAGTGCTGTTTGAGTCATGTCAAAAAGATTGACATTTTCTGTTTATGCTGGTTCATCAGTTCGGTTAGACTTTAATATGCTTAACATGGTAGCTCAAATATTTGGAAATGCGAAATAAGGTATACATGAGTTTCTTCTAGAAAAACTCGGAAAATATGAAGCAAGAACGATTAAAATAAGAAATTCGAACACTCAAATGAATAATAAAAATAAGTCTGTAGACTAAGTATTTATTATAATTTGAGTAAGCTTATGTTTCCTACTGCTCATTCTGCACACTTTCATCTTCCAAAAAAAAATTAAGAATTCTTCCCTCTCGAATCATAAAATTTTGCAAAGAATTGATCTAAAGGTCTGATCCACAAGGCAGTGAAGCAACGTCTCATGGTAGCCGGTGATCAATGATTGATTCATATGCCATTTATTCTATCGGGATCCTGGAGCCCATGTGACCATTGGTTTGGAGAGGTAGAGTTTCCGTATCCACCAGACCGGTTGAAGCACCGGAAATTCGCTTTTCGTCCTCTCAATTTCATATACATCACCCCCGTCGCGAGAAGGCAGTGAGTAGGACTTTCCTGACAGTGGTTTTATGCACATGGCCATGTAAGAGCCTTTCGAGTGAGAAAAGCTGACTCTCCCCACTCTCGGCCGTACCAGAGCATTTGGGGGCGACAAATGTTCAGTCTCATTATCATCAAAAATGATTTTCCGCTTAAAACTCAATCCAAGGCATAAACATTTTACAATGTGTGGTTCTGCCACATCTCAGCCATTAATTGTTTTCTGTAGATATCTATTTTCATCAGTCATACTGTATAATAGGAACTAAAGATAGCAACAACACACTCCATTTCTATGTACATTCAAGACAGATATTTTACTATCATCGAGATTATTATTATCTAATACTTAAACTCCTTGTCAAGTCACTGAATTACGCACTATACTGATCAAAATATCTCACTTATTCTCCTTGTGTTAATGGATGAATGAAGAGACCTTTTCAGATGCTATCATAACACTTATTCCTGTCAAAACAGTGATTTTTCATAATCAGGAAATTAGACATAATCAATTAAATTACTGAGAGGTTATGTGTGGTTGACAACAGTCTTCAGCCTACAGATCATTATTGAGTATTAATATCTTATCAATTTAGTTTCACACATATCTCGGATTCAAAATCAAACTTTTAGAATATGAATATCACTTCTCTACATAGCCCCTACATGGTTCACTTTAAAGTTTACAAAACTTGATTATTATGTTTCACTCAATAATTCAACTAAATTATATATCGGTAGTCCTCCAATGATGTCAATTGTTTCTTATTTTCATTTACTATTGTACAATCTGCTTAACGTACTTAATTAGTAAGTATATAAGTAACAGATTTTTCCTGGTCCATAATATCATATCAATATGGGCAACAATAATGTCATAGAGTGTATGCTGTAGTTTTATACAGGTCTGTTCCCCCCTCCCCACTCTTTCCTATTGTTATATCATAGTTATTGTAAGTATGTGATAAATATGTAACTATTAACATTTGTTTAATGTTTGAGATCATTTTCATTAGTATATTGTATTATGATGCCAATTACAACAACTTTTCGATTTTATTTTTTAGTGGTGAAGGAAGTCAAAAATCAGGCAATTCAGATGAACGTACACCTACGGCTATGATGAGGGCTGTTACAGTTCATCCGGAAACCTTAAGAGTCATGTACTTTGCCTAATGTTTACACATGTCAAACAAACTGTGACCCCCCCCCCAAAGAAATCTAGCTCTCATTCACATTGTCTTTTGCTAAAACAAACGAGACAGCCAAGGCAAACACAACTGACCTACAATAACCACCTCTCAGTTGGCAGCTGTAAAATGCATTGTCATTTGTGTGTATCTTTCAGGTTGCTTTTTTTCTTTCAAACTGCATTTCTGAATACTATGTATTTTTATTTACTTTCCTCCTTATGTGCCAACCACTACTACTTTCTTTTTGTCGAGGGGAGGACCATTAGAGTCTTCTTTCATTGTAATAGTTTATTAAATAATCGTAGCAGTAATAATAATAATTATTATAATTGCTATTATTATCTACGTTCATCTTGACTTCTTTGTTCTTTGTGGGCTGTGTTTTAATAATCAATGTTGCCTAATAGAATAGTACTGGTCGTTATAATTGCCAGTACATAAATTTATACTACTACTCATGATAATAGTAATACATTTTTGTACAGTACATAATGCATTAATTTATGTATTATTATTATTATAGACGTTAATTATAATTGCTACTATCATTATTACTTGTATGTATCGTTTAATTTGGTGTTGTACTTACACTCATCACGCTATGAATATATTTACATACTTTTTTTCCTTCTTTATTCACGACTCCAAATATTCTCATTTTCTTTGAGCACCGTATTTTCAAATTAATATACCCATAATAAGTAACAATGCTGATGATAATGATGATGACAAATAATCATTATCACATATAATACTTTCATATATCCCAATAAAAGGGAATTATACATTCATTCTCCTGACCATTTTATTGCATTCTATAAATATTTGAAAAAAATAATAAACATATATATTATAGAATAATAAATGTTAATTCTTTTGTTATTTCCTACTCCCTCCTAGTGGAGGGAGTTCATTGTCAATCTGGGTTAACCGTATCAAGTGTGATGTAGACATTGTGATTCTAAGTCACAGTGATTAGTGTGATGGTCGTTTTTTTTTTTAGAAGAAGAAAATAACGACGACCCAAGTGTATATATTTAATATGATCGAAGCACTAGTCTTTCATTCATTGGATTAGGAAACGAACTCTTCGACTACCGTAGTCTGAATAATATCAGGCTTGATAGTAATCATATACTTTATGCCCTAGTAGATTGACATTAATGAGTGACAGAATAAAAAATTCATAGAATAAAGCGGATTGATTAGATAATTAAAGGATAAACAAATCATAGATATCGTGGACATCAGTGCTGATAGACATAAAATGTTTGATTGTATTTTCGTTAAGTTCACTGGTGACATTCTGGTACAGTCGAATAAATGAAGATTATTTGTCAATTTAGATTTTCATTCATTGTGTTCAGTCAGTTATCTACAACGTAGTACCAGGCATACATACGCATCGACCCAAGTTACAACATCCCATTAGCACAACAAGGTGAACACCAAATTCATAGAAGTAGTTACTTCAATGGTAGTAATATATAAAACGAAGATCGCATATAAAGACATAGTACAGGAAGAAAGAATTAGTTCGTAGATAGAAAGGTACCAAGTAATTTTAATCTCATAGTTTAAGGTAAGGCAAAGAGTACACACCTACGCCATTGTGATCGATTCAGAGTCATGTCACTCAGAGTCTCCAACCACTGGTTAGGATAGTCGTACGGACCCCAACGAAGTAGTTTGCATCTGCCAATATCGCTCAGACCAGAAGTCAGTGACTATGGACTAATGCCATATTTTGGTTTGGCCGCCCCTAACTTCCATCTTTTCCCAACACTAGTCAGCATTGAGCGTCATGGTGATCGGTGTTCAGGCATACGCGACACGTGGCCCAACCTTCTTAGTCAATGAAGATTCACAACCTCATCAACTGATTTACCATCACTCCCTAATACCCTACGTCTAACCTCACTATTACTTACCCAGTGATCCCTGCAGATGCTAACAATATCTGAGATCAAATACTAGTAGTTTACGTGTATCTTCTATCCTTAATGGCCACGTTTCGCAGCCGTAATTAGAACAGAACGAACTGCTGCATAGTATACTCGTCCTTTAATTGACAGACGGATATCTCGTCTCCATAGGTCACGTAAGTTGGCAATACCGGACGAGCCATTTGAATTGGTACAGAGATTTCGTCATATATCAATACATTAGGGCTGATCAGATCTCCAAGATAAGCGAAGTTGTCAACGCGTTCGACTACTTCACTCCCTACCCTTCACTGTTTGAAATTGATACAACGTGATTAGAAGACAAAATCATATTGCTCTACTCATCGTGATTCTTGCTTAAACATTACCTCCGTTTTTTTAATTCCATATGATGATTCACTAGGTATTGTTTGCTTGTATCTTCCCACCAACAATCTTTCCATATGATGATTATTTAGTTTAATATTTGTTTTTATTTTCCAGTGTGATATTTTATTTGGTATAACACTAATTTTATTTGAGTGTAATATATTTGTTCACGGTATTGAATTAACATGAAGTATGCTGAGTATAATATACAGCATAAGGTTTTGTCATAACTTTGAGTACTTTTTCATATATGTGACTTGATTCTAATTGATAGTCAAAATGGGTGTACAATAACTATATAAATGAGTGTATTTTCGACCAGGATCGTCAGCATCGTGGTTTGGGTTGAATAAATCTTTACTTGTACCAGTCTTGGTGTTCTTACTTCACGTCGTGGGGATTGTAGTAGTTCCTCTTTTTTTTTCAAGTATAAGTAATAAGCGACGCGGATATAACTATCCTTTACAAAATCAACGAGTTTTATGGAAGATTTTATACAACATGCATAACCTAAGTATGTAAATTTGTTGAAGTGTACAAAACCCTGAACATGATTTAAGATAGGAAGAACAAGAAGATAGCAATTATCAACAGCCGAACAAAAACAGAGAAAGTCAAGGAACAAGCTGAATACACAGAAGGAAACAAACAACTGAAGAAGAGCATTAGAGCCGACAAGCAGAAATATAAGGAAGATCTAGCAACGACAGCGGAAAAAGCTGTAAGAGAAGGAAATACGAGATAACTATATGACGCGACAAAGAAACTCGTAGGAAAATACAGTAAAGCAGAAGGACCAGTAAAGGAAAAACAAGGCAAGCCAATCACTGAAATTCAAGGACTGAGGAACAGATGGGTAGAACACTTTGAGGAACTCTTTAATAGACCAGTTCCATTGGATCCACCGGACATCGAAGCAATAAACATAGACCTCCCTATAGATAACACTCCGCCAACGACGGAAGAAATCAGGATGGCCATCAGACAAATCAAGAGTGGGAAATAGTAGGACCTGACAACATACCAGTTAAAGCACTGAAGTCAAACATAGAGGTAACTTCAACATGCTCCACGTTCTATTTAAGAAGATTTGGAAGGAAGAACAAGTTCCAACAGACTTGAAAGAAGGATATCTCATCGAGATACCAACGAAATCAAATCTGGGCAAATGTAAGAACTATAGAGGAAGTACACTACTATCGGTACCAGGAAAAGTTTTCAGCAGTGTTGTTGAGCCGAATGAAAGGTTCAGTTGTCCTCCATGTTCTGGAATACGTAAGGATAGGTTGTGAGCAGATCAAATCGCAATACTACGGATCATTGTTGAACAATCAATCGAATGGAACTCGTCACTATACATCAAATTCCTTGACTATGAGAAAGCATTTGAACGTGTAGATATGAGGACTTTATGTAAACTTCGACAATATGGTGTACCTGAGAGGATAGTCAACATCGTCCAGAGTTCATACGACGGACTACAGTGCAAAGGGATGCATGGAGGACAGCTAACATACGCATTCCAAGTGAGTACCGGAGTCAGATAAGGTTGTTTATTGTCTCCCTTCCTCTTCTGGTGGTAGACTGGATTATGAAAACTTCCATATCTCAGGGAAAGCACTGAACACAATGGACAGGCTGGATGCAATAGACGATTTGGACTTTGCAGATGACCCAGCTCTTCTATCTCTTGTTATTGGATCTTTCTTCAGGTATTTATATAAGATCGACATACAATGATAATGAAAGCTAGAGTAGAGCAGAGGTTTAGCAACCCCATCCTGTAAAAAAGAACCTTGATAAAAAGACTAACCAGAAAAAAATAGACCGATTAATTATTTCATGCAGACAAATTGTTCAAAATATATTTGAATAGAAGAATAAATAAATGATAAATGATTAGCCGTCAGATATGGATTACTTTACAATCTGTCATAATTATCCAGAGATACTCTACATTAGTACGACGACAAGAAATAATAATATTCATTGTAGTGGAAAAATAGACATAGAAAGAATATAATCCTAAAAGAGTAAATAAAATCGGCTCTCAAATACAACACAGAGAACACCAACCCAATCACAGTTGATGGCAAAACTCTGGAAGTGATTGGAAGTTTCACATACTTGGGAAGCATCATCGATGAACGAGGAGGATCTGGTGCAGATGTAAATGCGAGGATTGGCAAAACAAGGACAAAATTTCCACGGTTGAAGAACATATGGAACTCAAAACAACTGTCAACCAATATCAAAGTCAGAATCTTCAGTACAAACGTCATGACAGTCCTATTGTACGGAGCTGGTGAGCGGCCCATGCTCTTCCGTAAGGGGTAACAGGCGTAAGTAAGTAAATAAATAAATAAGTGATCTGTAAAACAATCTAAAGATCATATATATTTAGATATTCTAATATGTTCAAATAACTGTAGGCTAGAAGAGCGCTCATTATCTAACGAATCACCGACGATATGGCTTTCTTGTTATCTGAATTTAACCAAGAAAATACGGAACCAAGCTGTATCAATAAACAATGTCAATATCTAAGAAAATGAGAGGAGTTTGTTTGTCTACGCAATTAATGTCAATTCCACCCTATGATGACATGAGGCCCCCTTCTCATAATTCAAGAATGTCAAGTACCTTGTAGAATAATCTACAAGTTCATTCTCTGGGTAGATAATAGTTGTGATTAATTTTTGGAGGTCATACGTAACTCAAGGTTGTTATATTAAAGTTTAATAGCTCGGAGCATCAAGTACCTTAATCTTTCACTAATCATAGTGATTATGTCTGAGCCTTAATCAAAACTGACATCACATTAATGTTTAAACGCGAACTAAATGAGTTATTGGCTAGTAGATCTATGACGCCTAACTGCAAACCAGATTTTGTTTTCACATTGGTCACTGAGGCTATGTTCATCCGTTACGTAAGTTGCAGATCATATAATTCGCTAAAAATCAAGATGATAAAATACTTGTTATTATCCATCTTGCTTTTTGTTCTGAATGGACAGCTGGATGAGAATACGTTCCATGCTTTACTTAATGTGTTATCGATGGTTAACTGACGTAATGAAATAGTCGCTTGTAGAAATGGAGACAATAACATTCACTTGATATTGTTTGGCTTGTATCATCCCATTGAGGTTTAAGACCGCAATTGATCAGTCTGTTATTGGCATATGTGCATACTGTGCGTATGCCTCGATATTGCCACAATTCACAAGCTTTTTGTAAGCAATGATGGATAGTGGCTAGCAGTGGAATTCAGGACGCGCGTTTCGACCTAATTAAGACTCATCAGCTGGACTGAATATGAACCTAGGGATGTAGGCACATCCAGCTGACGATTCCAAATTAGGACGACTGGTTAATTGCAGTCTAAACATCTATGAGAATACTCAAAGAACCAACTGATTAAAGTTCATTGATGAATATATAGTTAACCACTTAGGAAATTAACAGCTCGTTCCTCAGTAATTATTTTTTATATAGATTCCTTGAAATTCTAGTAGGAAACTGTGACTTTTGGATTCAAACTAATTGAAAGTAACTCAGTTAACTACACTAGACATCATAATACGATGATGCCTTATCAAAAAGTTTGGAAAATATGAGTCTCTAGATCCTGATTCACTGTTTAAGTAGGATCATCCTATCCTAAATTAATTAAATGCTTTAATTCAATGCTATCAGTCAGTCTTGAGTGTTGTTAGAGGTATGAGGGCGGTTATCACTTCCCGGTTTCCCATATCGTGGAAGAGTTCTTCTGAAGGTACCTGAAAAGAAAGTTGAATTAAATATAGTCTTAGAGACCTGAGAGCGTGACCGCAGTGCCCAAGAAACAACTGCTTGAGGTCGGTCACACACGACCTTTATATGGGTAATTTTTGTGTTAGCTCCGTACTTGTTGAGACCTTACCACCGGAGACGGATATCCGTGGGATAAGGCGAGGTGTGCATTTTTAGGGTCGACCTTTTCTAACCCCACCCCTCCTTGTGGGAAGGCAGCATCGCTGCAGATGCTGGTTGTCTAAAGGAAACACCTTACTGCTGTCACACCACTATACAGTCAGAAGTACGACTTCGCCTTTGAACCTTAGGTTTGTTGCTTGTAGTCTTACTGCTCGCCAACCGAGCTTTCTGACATGGTGGGACCTTGAGGAACAATTGTTTCAGCCAGTGTAGCTCGGTTGCTTCATCATGGTAGGCAAGCCTGACCACCACGTCAAGGTAGCAACAACGGTCGGGAACTCAACGCTATATGGGTTCATGGATGTAAATAACTGGAAAAAAAATTACAAAACAATTGGTTGATTCTTTCTTTTCTGTCAGTAATCACTATCAATGAATAATCTACATTATTATAGGGAAGTATCATTCAAAAGGCTATTTGAACTCATTAACTTATTGGTGAATAACTTAGAATTTAAAGTAATAGATACTGAATTAAAACCTCAATGTTAATATCACTACTAATATTCAAGAATATCTATTTAATAAGTCTTAAATAGAAAGAAATACCCATTCTAGATTTCATTATTTAGTTATATTCCAAGTATACTCATATAAACTTCTTAGAAATCTATGAACAAGAAAAAAACAAAGTCACTTCAAATTCAAATGTCTATTTATTTATTAAGTACTAACATAAATGTTTAGAAATAAGCTTCTTTTTTTTTTGTTTGTTTTCATTTCCCCAACACCATAAAGACTTATTTATTCAAACAATAATAATAGTAAAAGAGAGAGAGAGAGAGAATGTATTTATTTGAGTACAAGTAACCACCTTATTACATTATTATTGTATTTCACCATACAACAACACTATCAATAAGAGTTGAATGAAATTGTATAACAATAATAATAATAATTATTATTATTATATATAAATTACATTCATTGTAATTAAACATAATCAAAGTTTAATAACTAATGATAATATGAATGTATAGAAAGAAAGATAAAAAGAAAAGTAATAGACAAGGTTGACGATGATGATGATGATGATCATCATCATCATCACCATATCAGTTCAATTCTATGAAATATGGTTGATTATTTAACATTATAATAGGAATGATGATGATGATACTAACAGCAGTGATACAATGAATAATAATAATAATAGTTATATAAAAAGTCATACGAAGAGATTGGAAGTGTGAATAGTGAACCTGTCAACTACATGCATACATACACACATACACACATACATACATACATACATACATACATACATAAAAGCATAGATGTATACATCAACTATGCAAAGGCATTAACTTTATTTTGTTTTATAAAGGCAAAGTCCAACAAAAGAGATCACTTTATTTTAGTATTTAACTCTTAACCGAGTATAGACAAACAATCAATTGAATATTGAATTCCATTTCATTTAGTTTTGTGTTTTTTGTCGGTTTTGTTTGTTTGTTTGTTTGTTTGTTCAGATAACATCAATACAAATGGTTAAAACTGTGAATAGAACAACGAGCAACTGGAAAAAAGAAAAAAAAACAAACAAATGTTCGATACTGGAATATAGATGATCAATGATTTACTTTGAACATAAATCTTATCATGGATTAGTATGGGGAGATCCCATACTGCAACTATAGACATTGTAAGACAATTGTTTCTTTGTAGCTTAGAACTTCATAGAAGCAATGATTTCATGTTATTATTAGTTCAAGATGAAAATACATCTTGAATTTATACAAACAATCTAAGTAAGTAGTCATCTTTAAGATTGTTAATTATACTTATACTTAACTTATAATTAAATTCACTTGATATTGTTTTACTTGAATCTTCCCATTGATGTTTTTGGACTGAAATTGATCAGTCTCTTATTGGCATATGTGCATACTGTGCGTATGCCTCGATATTGCCTAAATTTACAAGCATTATAAGCAAAGATGGATAGTGGCTAGCAGTGGAATCCAGGACGCGCGTTTCGTCCTGTTTGGGACTCGTCAGCTGGATGTACCTGCATCTCAGAGTTGATGTTCACTCTGGGACTCGAACTCAGTACCGTTCGCTTCAAACGCCATCGCGTTATCCACTTAGCTACTGAGTCCTGATAGCCACTTGCTTGTGCAATGGGTTGAAGTTGAATTCACTTGATATTGTTTTACTTGAATCTTCCCATTGATGTTTTTGGACTGAAATTGATCAGTCTCTCTCTGAGATGCAGGTACATCCAGCTGACGAGTCCCAAACAGGACGAAACGCGCGTCCTGGATTCCACTGCTAGCCACTATCCATCTTTGCTTATAACTTATAATTAGTTAATGAATGAAAGTGCTGATCTATAACTTCTAAGATTCTCAATAATGTTGATTTCCATTTATACTTTAAAACATTTCATAAATTATAAAGTTTATCAAGGAAATTTCCAAAGATTGTTAATGTGCAAAATAGATAGAAAACGATGACAGTTATCTAAATTCACTTCGTATTGTTTTACTTGAATCTTCTTATTAATGTTTAGAACTGTAATTGATCAGTCTCTTATTGGAATATGTGCAAAGATGAATAATGGCAAGCAGTGAAGTCCGGGATGCGCTAAGTGCATAACATCATGGCGTTTGAGGCGAGCAGTACCGGGTTCGAGTCCCGGAGTTAACAATAACTCTGCGATGCAAGTACATCCGGCTGATGAGTCCCGAGTAGGACGAAAAGCGCATCCTGGATTCCACTGTTAGCCATTATCCCTCTTTGCTGATAACAGTTATTTTTAAAATAATTAATGAATACATTTTCGAATCATATTCATTCATTCATTAGCATGAATATTTGTACATTCCAGTTAATCAATACAAACTTCTGTACCTAACTTTGAAATAAATTTACTATGTAACGTGTAGAGAAAGAATGGTTAATGCAAAATCTATGTAGTGGTTCTTCAATGTGAAAGCCAATATCGATAAATACAAGGTTCAATCGTTGAACAACTATAGACGGATGTTAATGTAACTCAACCAGTATCCTATCCATATCTGACGAGTTAAAAAATGTTTGTATCAGAATTCTGTATAAAACTCAATGACTGGTGTAATAGTGAAACTTATTTAGAACATAAATGTTGTAATTCAGGTAAAGCAACATTGTTTATGGTTTGGGTTTCATTAGTCTCATTTTGTCCAAATATTCATAAACCTTGCAATACTGACAACTTACACAAGTGCAGATGTCCTAAAACTTACTGATTACCATTTGTACCATACTTAGAATACATATAAATACCGCTTAAATTCTCAAAAAAAGATTAATATGGGTGATATAATTGTTTCATAAACAAAGATGGATGGTGGCTAGCATTGGAATACAGGATGCGCGTTTTATCCTATTTGAGACTCGTCAGTTGAATGAACCAGCAGCCTAGAGTTGATATTCACTCTGAAACTCCAACCCTGTACCGTTCGCTTCAAACACCATCGCGTTATACATGCGCGTTTTGGATTCCACGTCTAGCCATCATCCATCTTTGCTTATAATGCTTGTAACTTAAGGCAATATCAAAGCAATCCATACAGAATACATATATGCTAATGTCCTTAACATCAATCGAAGATTAAAAACAATGATTGTTTCAGTTTTTCAGGAGCTATTAAAAATTAAATGTGCTTTTCTCTTCCAAGAAGTAAATTTGAAACGTTTAGAAATTATACTCAGTTTCTATCTAACAAACTATTTTCCAATGAATATGAATTTCGGCGAGACTCTAATTTATGGACGACCTTTGAACGGATCTTGAGTGACCCTGGGAAACATTAGCCAATCGGCAAACAGTCAGTATAGAGTAAAAAGATGTTATGCAAAACCAAGGAAACAAGGTGGATACACTTCTCATACGTGGTTCCAAAACTTGTCAAGGTTAGAAAGAGGTTCAAAGGTTCTAAAATCGTAATGCATGAAGTAGAGGAAATCATCCATACGGTTACAGAATAGTCGGCCTCTGGAGCCACGATAAAGTCTCAAAAACTCTTTCAGCCTCGACCACATAGATTCAATATTGTTTATATGCACTCCGGTTGTTGAGTGCACAAAATGCTAATTGTGGATAACCACACGATGCACATAACCAAGCCTATGTAGTAGTCTGCACCTTCTCCAACCATCCGTATATATTGTAGTACCTGGCTGCAGCCAGTGTTACTGGTGCTTTTATTATGCAGTTCGCGATAATTGTCGTAATTTACCTTAGTTAAGGATTATATATGGAGTTCTCATCACGAACTGACATCAGCTATAATGCCAGAAATTTATTTAGCCAAATTGGTGAAAGGCTTTCGCGTTGAAATTCGAGATCTATCATCTTATCCCTGGTTGATTCGTCCACGAATTATAGTCTCGCCGTTTTATTTGTTATAGCTACTCAAATATCACGTTTTGTACAAAATTCCCTGTGAACCGATCGTACGTTGGCGCCGTAACCTTGAAATCTCTAAAACGCCTCTGATTGGCTCGTCCATAAATTAGTCTCGCCTTAATTCCTTTTATCCTTACATTTTGATCTTAATTATCAGTTAAGTAAATGAATTGAACTGAAATCAGATATTATCAATATGAACAGTCAAATAATTCAGAACTGTAGTTTAAAACTGCCGAAATCAATCACGTCCTCGGCTTCACCATAATTCAGATTCACTGGGTAAGTAAATGTCTAAAAGAAACAAATTCATAATCCATGTTTCTATTGTTTGTATTGAACTAACACCCAATAATTGTTTAAAAGTGACAGACAATTACAAACTTGAAATTAATTTCAAAAGCATTATTGTGATTCATCTTTACTTACCAATAAAACAAATGCCCCAATTAATCCATAAGCTACATAATCCATATATTTAAGGAAAAATTCTTTCAATGGACCTCTACAACCATTTTTGTAATTACTGTTATTATCATCGAATTTATCTGGACATGTAGAATCACTGATTGCATAATTTTGATTCATTTTGCAACACGGCACAGGATATTCAATATCTGTGTTGTAATGAAAGTAAACAGGAAGGGTATATAATTTATTATTCATAAAACAACAGTTTTATTCATTGTAGATGATATCGTTAATCAAGATACATAAATTGCGGATTAATGATTAAAATTAATCCAGTGTTCCAAAGTTTGATCAGACAAATAAAATTCCTATTTTGAGATGAATGTTCGACTTTGAAGGTAAGTTTCTTCAGAGGATAATGTCAGGTGGTGAATGATTAAAGACTAGTTGGATTTCAATTATAACTCCGCCTGAAGCCCCTCTGGGGTTACTACCGGTCCCAAGCCCGGATAGAGGAGGAGGGTTGAGCATGGGGTTAGCGACCATATTCCGTAAAAAACTAACTCGCCAAAAAACGCTAACCAGAAAAAATAACTCAAACCATTTAAACTCTGCCCTGGGAGTTAGAAAGTCTTCATTTAGAAGAGTTATGACGCCTCATGATGAAAGCCAAGTTCCTTCGGAAGTCATGAGGCCGATGCCCCTTCCGACAACCAGAGAAACAACTAGTTCAGGTAGATGGAATGCCCGTACCAGGAGAGTATTCCAAATCGCTGTAGAAATGAAGAGATACAACCTGGAGTTGCTTGGAATCAGTGAGACATACTTGACGTAGGTTGGACAAGATTTCAATTATGTAAGTGAATAGTATCGTTTTTATCACACAGCTTGAATATTCTGGGGTAAATTGTTACAGGTTTATTTGTGCAAAGTGCTAAATAGCTCAAATCAATCATTATACTAACTACGTGTAAAGCCAGTAAAACGAATGTTGTGAGATGAAGTGAACTTATACGAAATATTTAGACAATACAAAATGAGAGTTAATAATAAATCTATTTTTGTTATATCCCAATGAGTAGAAAAATTGTATTGCCGACGTTTCGTCACTTAATGTAAGTCAATTCTTCAGAGTAAATAAATAACTCAATGTATTGTTTCCCTGGTACTATTTAAACTTGTGGCTATTTACTTACTCTGAAAAAGTGGCTTACATTAAGTGACGAAACGTCAGAAATAAAGTTTTTCTACTCATTAGGATATAACAAGAAATATTTTAATAGTTGAGATCATGAGTCAGTTGAAGCTAGACCACCATGGTAATACCTGGAGGCACTGAAAAAATATATATCTATTAGTAATGTTTGATAGTTTTTGTAGTCTTAAGTGATTAGATAAAAACATTCCGAAAATACTTTCATTGTTGCTCAATATGATCGGAAGACCCTGTATTTTGTCAGCGTCTCTACAAAATATGGCTATGTAATCAACATATTCAAAGTCAATACGAGAACCTCCTCCTAAGAGATCAATCTTTTAAAGGTTAGATGAAGAAAGTGTAATGTCAACAAGCACCAATCAACATCAAGGTGTACAGGAAAAGCTGTGAACCACACATGGAGAAATTCAAACGCTGCACTTTTATCTGAAGTTTGTGCTGGTGATGTCATTCATAAGAACGATGAAAGCTCCACGACCAAATCATCTAGTTCAGAGAACAAAACCCCATCAAAAAGAATATGTAGTCTGCAGAAAGATATCTGCGACAAAATTAATTGAAAAGGAGAAAGGTTGACAATCAAGAAGAACACAACTTGAGAGTGACGTTTCTGACTACATTTCGTCATAGGCTTTGACTGAGAAATTTTTGATTGAGTACACTCCCTTTACTAGTACGTGTACTTCTATGACGAATTGGTCAAATCGAGTTCCATTCAGTTCTCAACGTCTACACGGTATCATAGTCAAACTAGTTAGTAAAACTAAAGATAAATAGAGTTAACTCATTAAGCCACTTGAACTGTTCCCTAATTTTTTTTAAAATAAATTCATAAACAATCCATTTTTAAAATGAACTTTAAGAGGTCTTGATGATCTAGACATACAATGACTTGTGGAAACGAAATACTTGGTATCAGTTTTATTAATCTAATGTTCAACTGTTGTTTCCTCTTCTTGACTGGCGTTCTCTGAGTATATAACTTAGTAAGTATGCATTTAATTGAATATATGGCCTACCAGTAGGTGGCAGCCAGCAAAAGATCTAGGTCCAGAGTTTCTTTTTGACTAGCCCCAGCTTCCTGTTGTTAAAATATGTATATACAGTGGTTATAAGTCAGTTAGTCTGTTGACTCTGGACCGTACTTCAAGCCACATTTTGACGCAGAGTAAAAAAGGCATCAAAGTATATAGGAGAAACGCTTACTAGTATATGATTTACCCCCGTAAGTGTCATTTTTCCAGAAATTAGTTGAATTTTTAAAGTCACTTCCACCATCCACACCACAGCATTGAAGCTATAAAAAAATAAAAATATTGTGTGTTAATGAAAGGTTAAACAAAATTATCGTATAATTAAACGCATAATGATCTATCTGTTATTTGTCGAACACTAAATATAAATAAATTTATAAACTCTTTGCACTGAATCACTATAAACATTTTAAGAATAAAGATCCATTAAGTTTTTCGAAACTCGTATGTTTGGATCACACCAGGAACCTGTATGATTTAGCTTGTAAAATGTTTGATTCAGCCTATTTCATCTGAAAATCAATATAATGGTCAAGTATTTTCTTCTAGGTTATACATATAATTTTGAAGACTGTGATGACTTGAAGAGCATAACAGTTGTCAGGCAAGAACTAAGTTAAAGATTAGAATCTCACTTCATTTACTTTCTGCTTCACTAACCAGGTAGAATTCGTAGCCCTGATACAATGTTAGGAATTTGGATTTACTTGTCGTTACGTAGTTGAATTTAATTAGGGTAATCAGGGTCTTAGATGTGACAAGTAGTCAAGGGTGCGGTTCCTGTCCAAGATTGCTAAGTAAGGACCTTTCTACATCAATAAAACTTAGTCGTTAAATAATTAAAGAAAAAAACTAGATTCATTGATATTAAAATAATTATTTGTTTTTATTTTGGACAATAACTAGGGAGTAGTAATCAATAAATCATATTCTTCTCTGTTCAAGACTTGTTCAAGACCTCGAATCTATATTGGTTTTGATACTTACATGCAGACACACACATTACTCAGAAAAAAACATGAAGTACACGTGCTTACTGGAGGCGAGATTAAACCAACCACTAGACTGTCCAGTGTATTTGCTTCCATTGACTGATAATTCTTTACACTCGTCTCGAACATTTCAACTGCTTTGTTGCCAATCTAGGTGTAAAAAAAGTGTTAAAATAACAGTTAAATGTTGTGGAATAACTTTGCCCATATTTGTTTCGTTGAATATTCAGTTTGGTTTCATCTTACATCAGATAAACAAACCTGTGATTTTAAGAATGATTTAAATACCTCTGATGTTTGCATAGGTTTTATGCTTCTTTGACTCTAGTTGTTTCAGCTCCCCACTATGTCATGGTTTCTCCTTCCCAGTTTTCCCCCAACTCCTTTTCACTATTTTGATGTATGCCTTTAATTCCTGGGACCATGTGTGTTTTGTTTTATCTTTTTTTTCCGTTGAGAATTCCAAGTTAGAAATCGCATTGTGATGTATTTTGACGATTTCCACAATGTGTGTCTTATTCACCTCCAGCATCTCCTCTTAATTTCCTATTCAGCTAGAAGCTGGTTCTTTCTATTTTAGTAGGTTATTGTTAATGGTATCTAGCCAACAGACCAAACAATTATTTATAAATACCTGCGCAAATTTGATGGTGGTTGTATTGGAAGTATTAGTTGCATATGTTGTGGATCTATTGATCAGTCATTAGGATGATTAAAGTGATTTACGAACCAACCGTCTGGCATGTGGATTAATTTGATAATCAAATCAATACATGAACTATTAATTCAGTTTATAGGGTCCAAATAAACAGTGATTAAGATAAACGAACACAAATAATAATCAACCGAATGAGTACAAAACGGTTAGCTCATTTATTTAACGGGTTTTTCAGCTGTTCCAACAAGAACAGATTTGCCCAGGTGAACATGGTCTAATGATAAGAAATTATGGTTGGTGTACTGAACTCACGCTACATAAACTCCATGGTCTCTTTACAAACTCATACTGTACTACATTTGAATCCTCAACGAAATCAGATAACTGATTATCAAAATTAGTTTATTTACATAAACCATAGGTAACTGATAACCTTGAAAGTCTAGAAATTTAGGAGTGGTATGAGCTACTTATATCCACTTAAGTAGTGTATAACGGTGGTCAGGAAGAGAATGTATTTCAGTAGAAGATCGAGAAGGAAAGGATGGGAACGGAACGCAATTGGTATGAAGATGGCCGAACAATGAAATCTGAGACGATGGATTGATATTTATAAGAAAAACAGTCAATTTTGAGACAATCGATTGATATTTTGCAAATTAAGTATTTACTGTATTGTTCTCAGATTTTAGTAAGAGGTTCTGTTATTTTGTGCTTAAATACATTTGATTATCCCCACTCGTGTTCTTGTTCACTACGTAAGTATTGAAACATTCAGCTTAGAGAATAACATAAATGAGTTACTGCAAATTTTCCTCAGTATCTGTCAACGATAGTTTTTTTACAGTAATACAAGAACTTTTCTTCTTCTATATTTTTACATGTTACTTCGTAAGTATACTTTTTGTTTTATGATTAACATTGATGCTTTATTCAAATTTTCCATTTCATTTGATAGCAGCATTGTAATTGCATATTTCATTAAAGATTTATCAACTCGGTTATCTGAATGTCATTTAACTGATTCGTTCTTCCAAACTCGATCGCATATACATACATTAAGACTTAAGCAGTTTTTCTGGACAAATTATGACGGCAAAAATAAAAAGTCAATATGTTTTAATGCTGATACTAATACTGTTAGGAATAATATGTTCCAGAATTAAGGTACTTAGAATGCAATGCAATAAACCGAATGTATTGATGACATAATGGTACTAGTGATTGCAAAACTAGATACAATTTTTCTTATTGAGATCATGAATCGATCAATGCTGGACCACCACTGCAAACCTCGGTTCACTGGAGTGTCGTTTCGTCCTAGTATGAGGCTCTTCAGCAGTGCTAATCCACGATCGCGAACGTGTGATTCGAACCCTGGACCTCTAGTCTCACTTGTGAACACCTAACCTCTAGACAAATTATCCGGCATCCGAAATTGCTGAACACATTTCCCTAATTAAACGTTTGTATTTTTTTAATATCTTAATAGAAATATTTGTTTTGATGACCACTTTTATCATTAATAGATAACAGTTAAAGAATGATTAGAAACTATGGAGTACTGAGCAATTGGCATGTTCCGTTTTCAAACTCTTTAGCAATATATATTCATAAATTTATACTGGATTGAATGTCAAGAACATTCAAGGGTTTTTAGTGACTGTGACACCTTTGGACTACTTTTGGTTGTTCAGTCAGTGGTGAAATTTTCTTCGTAACTGTATGAACTCTCAACCGAAAGACTTCAGCGTACGAAATCGTGGATGAACACTGCTGAAAAGACCTATACTGGGACGAAATGGCCATCCATTGCTTTGAGGTTTCAGCAGTGGTCGATCTTAGACTGACTAGCGATTTCAACGGTGGAAATACAACAATCCCCACAAATCCTTCATATAACTGTACATTCAACTTATTCAGATAATTACTGCTATATGTATTTAGTAAGCTTTGAGTTCAAATCAAAACACTTTCAACCTGAATAATCATTAGTGTATTGGAAGGAGGTAACTTGCTAGTTAAATAATCTATATTTCATTTAGTACGTTGCAGGTCCGAACCCGCACTTCATCTATCTCGGTAATAGGCAGCTGATCACTAACATTAAGCTATTCATAAACAGAGTGGTTCAAACTTAAGAGACATAAGCCTGAAGCTGGTAAGTGAGTTAACCGAAAATTATCAGATTATTTTTGTCATCCACTTCAATGACTTTCTTTTTCTCTGTTCATTAGTAGTAGAACTACCTTGAATCATTGAATCTGTAATATTTTATGATACGGTTTGTGATGTATAAATAATCATAAAAGTAGTTTTCCGAAGGATTTATATCGGTTTATGTACCATTAGACATTTATTTCTCAAAATTTTAAAAGTTTATCTCTTCCAGTGTGAACCTATGTCTTTTGAATAAATGAAAATGTGTAATCAGTCTACTAATCATAACATTTAACGATTCAGTTTAGTAAAGTTGTAGAACTTACCTCATCTTTACGAGAGAAGTACACACTGAATGTAACCAGAAAAGCAAGTGCCAAAGCTCCTACTAGAATTGCGTACTAAATGGAAATGAATATAAAACAGACAGTTAATCGTGAATGATAATTACAGAACAAAAGAAATAAAACACGAGGTATTACTTATATGAAAAGTTCAGTAGTTTGTGGCTAGTAACTAATATTTCAAATTATTAGCCATTTTCACTGATTAATATTGGGTCATTAAGTAATGTAGTGCATTGCAGATCCTAAAACTATTTCAATATATTAGTGGAGCTGGTTACTGTGTACAATTATTAACGAATGACTAAGTGTTACCTATACATATCAAGTCAAAACTTACAAGGCATTTAAAAACCATGAGACCGTAATCATTATTACCCACTTTTTTCATAATCAGTTTTGGCGATTTGTGGAGATCGTAGTATTTTCAAAGTTGAATTCATGAGTCAATCTAAACTAGACGACGGTTTGAAACCTGGAAGCACTGGACAGGACTCCTCAGAAGTGCTCATTCAAGCACCCGCACGCACGACTTGAACACGAGATCTCCGGTTTCGCGCGCTAACACCAACTCTAGACCACTGTGCCGGGATGTGCACTGTTGAGGAGTCACGCACTAGGACGAGGCGGCCATACAGTGCTTCCAGGTTTTCAATATTGGTCTAACTTAGATTGCTTCGTGAACGCAACTTTTTTTATAAATCAATGTTTTTAAAGTTTCTGAGTTCAGCTATTCTCGTTTCTAGTCATATAGAAGTTCGAGAGGTCTGTTCACTGAGTATTCTACCACAAAGAAAGTGGGATATAGATATAATTTTGGGGTCACCACTCAGAAAATTAGTAGTTCATAAATTCATTCATGAGTTCAAACCTTAATCCATGAATCTCAGTTCTTGCAACAGTACAGTACGTTAGGTAGGAATCGTTCCATCTGATCTTAAGGGATGACAGTATTTTATTAACTAAGGTTTTAGTATTGCAGTCAAACTAGTAGAATTGACTTGATAATGTAACCAATATAGATCTGGAGAGTTAAGGTGTAACTGATTTCAAAGAATCTGAAAAGCAAGCCAACAGATCCCTAGGAGTTCTAACACAGTTAAATTTGACCTAATATATATTTCTATATATTTATAATACAGTCGAATATATCGATAAAAGTACGTTTGAACAATTTTGTTAAGACTCAATTAAGTACTTGGTTTTCTTCTATTATCACTTCTGTGAATTTTATCATTTTTTAAACCATAAATTTGGCTAGAATAATCAATCTACTCCAAGTATAGAAGTCCCATGTTTCCTCAAGTAATGTGAAGATGCGTGGTAGGGATAAACTCCGCTCTCGTTCAGATATCTGGCCTTGCACCTGGCAACCAACCAAAAATGAACCGAGACTTATTACTTACATCATCGTGATTCATAAAGGAGGGTGTGTTTCATTCTCTATCGTCTTTGCTGGATTGCATGAAAAATATAGAGTTTTCTACAACGAAAATCCCACTCCTTTATGCTACGGACGTGTCAAGTGTAACGCAGTTTGTCATGATGGAAGAAAACTTACAACATGCCAAAACTCACACCTCTAATTAACTATATAGTAAAAATTATTCAAAAATATCTAATGTTAAGTGAATAAATAAACGAAAACATAACTGTAATGACTGAATACGATACACTTAAATGATTTGATAATGTGGAGTTTATCCCCAACCCTTTGAACTAAAGAAACAATTTACTCTAAGTTCGTTTTTGATGTTTAGTAAACTAGCCTGTTTCTCATTGGTAAGACAACTACATACTTATAACTTACACCTGTTACCCCTTATTAAGGAGTATAGGCCACTCACCATCATTCTCCATACATACTCACTACTCATGATAAATTGTAGAAAAATCTAGATTATATCCTAACCATATACCCCTTAAAGAGGAAGAATGTATTTGTAAAGTCTCAGTGAATAAATTTTGAAGTGAATCCAATGTCTCACCTAACCATCTGGTCCAAACTTTTTTCAAGGAATTATCTCTAATATCTCACATTAACTCGGCGCTCAAATACTGTGAAACTATTCGATTAAATTTAGACGAAAGTTCTTATTTATTACCTACACCCCCTTGTTCCTTTTTTTAGGTATCACAAGGTACATATTTTTTTCTCATTTAGTCAATCAACTCAGTGAAATAATAATTGTAACCATATGAAAAGTCTATATTGAATTAGTCATCATAATGATCAACTATAGTCAAACTACTAAATATAGAATCAAAAGAACAATGTGGTTCTTTCTTTGTAACGGATATAAATTGGAAAACTAAATATGGAAAACAAAATACTCATTAATATTCATAAACTTTATTTAAGTAGCGAAGGGGGGGGGCTAATCATTCTTATTTATCATTAAATGATCAATTAAGGTAAAAAAATTAATTAATTTCCATTGTTAATGTAATGAAACTTATTATTATTTTTACTTACTATATAAAGTAGTATCTTCATATTGCAACAGGCTCCACAGTAACCAAATATTGAGATACCTGTACAAACAGCACCTAGGATAAAGACTGCTAAACCAACTGGAGCTGGAAATAATAAAGATCACAGTAAAAATACAAAAACAATTAGATATTATAAATAAATTCATAAATTGGTAATATCCCAATGAATAGGAAAATTAATCAGGCCACTGAAGCCTAGGGTAAATACCGTTAAGTAGTCTAACACGAAGCCAGGTGCATGCTTCATTATATATTTATGGTTCATGATAATGATCGTTCCACAGACTCACCTACGGAAACCTTGTTACAACTTTTATTTCCTTTAAATATTCAAATTACGTCATCTTCTCAGCATCAGTCGAACAGCAAAGCCATTACAACGACACCAATCTAACGATTTCACTAAACTATTCAATTGGTAGTAGCGACGGGCGGTGTATATAAAAAGCATTATGTTTATGATTTAACTTAAATTATTAATCCTTAGGTGATATAAATCATATTCAAACTATTGATCGTAAATAACCTAAATTATGGGGAACAACGATGAGCTGGTACTCACTTTCTAAGAAATCAAATCAAGTGTATGTACAGGAACAAAACAAACACAATATTTTCCCTTTAAATGTTGAAAGTCGAAGAAATGAAAAGATCATATGAAACTAAAGTATTGAAATGAAATCATAGAGTGAATGGTGATGAGGTTGGACAACATGAAATTGATTTAATCATTAATCTATAATAATTTTGAATAAGTGAATCACATGTTGCACACATACTCAAGTTGGCACTTAATCTATTCATGTTCCAAAGACTGAATATGGAAGATACTAATAAATTAGTTTGATCAATTAAATTTCACAGATAGTCAGAATAAGGAATCAGTATACCTTATGTTTACAAGTTCAAATAACATTCAGTATTGAGTTGAAACAATAATTGAATATTGAAACAATCGGATGTTAGCATTTACTCGTTATAATGTAGGTTATATTATCTACCTAAATTAACAAGATTTGAAAATCCTTTATTTTCTTTAAAGTTTAATTTCAATGAAAACATTCTATGAATGATACATTTAAGTGAGAGACGCTTTACTGATCCTACATGTATTGTAACAGACGTGGATATAACCACTGTATATTCACCAAATGAATTTCATTAATCCGCTAACATAGACAACTTGTAAGTTATTTGAATTTTAGTCGTTGAGATCATGAGCCAATTGATGCTAGACCACCATAGAAAACCCCGAAGTACTGGATGGCCAATTCGATCTCGCCTCGCGAGATTCAAACCGAGGAACTATAAGTCCCGTGCGCAAGGGCTTAACCACTAAACCATTGAGCTGGCCGGCATTTAGTGGTGTTAATGTTTAACTTCAACTAATAAATGAAATTCAGTGACACATCCACCATTGTCTCCAGTGAGTTATTATCTCACAACTGACCCGGTTGAACTCCACTGGTCACTGGTTCTCACTAGAACTCCAGGAATTACCTCTTGAAGCCAGTTACTAGTGACCATATGTTAATTAATATCAGAAGAGGTTTTTTGTGAATAATAACAGTTATTTACATATGATATTCCAGAAATCTGATCTACAATCAAATAAATAAGTTTCCATACTGTATGTACTTTGATTTCAAAATTTAATAAACCTATTCTTAACATGAACACATCCTGAAATACATGTCAAAATGTTATAATTGTCCATGTTTTACATTGATTATGCGGAGATGTAATACAGCTATACCAATATCAAACTTTTTAATATATTAATCCATTGTTATGATTTGAGAATAGTTTATTTGACAGACTGAAATTAGTTACAGAATCATTGAGAATAAGGGAGCACAGGATTGATATTTCGTTCAACTACTGGATTTCTCAGAGAGGTAATTCGACAGACAGACAGAAAATAAACTCATGCCCTTTTTAATCTCTCAGTAAACTTATTAGCTTTGAACAACTGAGTTGACGTTCATTAGTTGGCAATCCCAACTTCAATTATTTCACTGTATTGTATAAATATCATCTATCTTCATCTTTGGTACTGTGGTGTGGGTTACTTATATCCACATAAGTAGTGTATAACGGGGGTCAGGCAGAGAATTTATTTCAGTAGAAGATCGATAAGGAAAGAACGGGAACGGAACGCAATTGGTATGAAGATGCATGAACAATGAAATCTGAGACAATGATATTTGCAAAAGGAATAGTCACGTTTGAAACGATGGATTAATATTTTGCAAATTAACTATTTACTATATGATTCTCAGATTTTAGTGAGATGCTCTGTAATTTTGCGTGTCAAATACATCCCCAGTCGTGTTCTTGTTCAACACAGTGCGTATCTCACTCCATACCATTAATTTCTTAAAAATAAAACTTTGGGAACTTATTCTCAACTCATCTGATTATTATCAAGATGGAAAATTTAGTTAGGACCAACCGATCAATTTCAAAGACAATTTACATCAACAAATTGACTTTAGAACGTTTGCTAATGTAACCAGAAATGATTGTTCCCAACGTAGAAAATATAGAACGAAATTCGTTCATATAAGAGCTTTTGTTTCATTCTGTTCTTTCATTATGTTAAGATAGTAGATATCAAACTAAAATTAACTAATTAAAATCATCTATCATCTCTCTGATCGAAAAAATGTCTTAAAACAGATCGATTATGGGTAGCAATGGAATCTAAGACGAACTTTTCTTTTAACTCGGGACTCGTCAATTGATCCCAACTGCATCTCAGTGTTGATATTCGCTCCGGGACTCGGACTCAGCGTTGAGTCCGGGAGCTCAGTGAATAAGAAGTTAGGCTTTTTGAGCTAAAGTTGAAATGGCTAAAGTCGATATAGTTGGTACGGGATGCATATATATTTCAACCAAAACTGGTCAAAATTAGTCAAAATATCAACAACGGAATATTTCAAACTCATTCTAATAATGATATAAATGCCTTAAAAAGATAATCTTTTCAGTCATTACAAATTCTTCTTCTTATATGGAAAATATCAAACCCATCTTTATTAATTTCTAAATTTCAAATAACAGTATTCTATCATTAACCATTTGATATACGCCCCCTGTATAAGTTATTTGACTAGAAAATGTTCACTCATATAGAGAATGAAGCATTTGTCACCGACGTTAGTAATACTGAATGGTTATAAATGAAACTGAAAATAAACATTATTTGTTATTTGCTCACTGACTGTTAAGTTGTAATGTGTTTGTTGTGGAAACTGAATAATTTAAGTTCAAGATCTAATGTAGACTTTTACTATAGAATATCTGAGAGTAACAAGTTACAGTGAAACAGATATCCAATATTTCATTTGAGTTTTCACTGATTCTCCAGATGATATCAGCTCATAATGAATACTGATCTCAAAAACTGAATTCATGATAAAGTCAAGTTAGATGGACAAGCACTTATATAAACAGTACCATCTGTCCAATTCCTTGTTTCATTTCTGGTTACTTTCTTTAATCGATTTTAACATCTCTTTATCCAGTGGCTATTTTCCTAGTTGAATTTTTAAATATAACAAGGTGATATTCTTGTTATAGAAGGTTTATAAAACTGATTCGATTTATGGTTTTTACTGTATATTAACATTGGTTTTAAGGTCAAACTCTCGTCACAGAGCTTGAGGGTCCCAACTTCATCCCCTAGCAGGGTTGTGGATGATCATTGCTAAATAACCCCATATTATGATAAAACACACATCCAGGATATCCCGGTTTTAAATAGTTCTGTAATCTATAAGGTGAAATCAATCATTCAGTGATGATATAGAGGCCTATTTATGCAGCTTTCTCATTATGCTCTCTTTGAGGTAATCACATATTTAGTGCGCTTTGCGTGTATAGATTTGTTTGTCAGTGAATATGAATGAAACATTTAGTTGAGATGCCTATTCATAACTCAGTTTAACCAGCTTACCAGTGAATTCTGACAGTATATGGATAGAATTGAAGGAAAACTATTAAAAAAAACCTTAAGCAATTCCGATATCATTAATAGCCATAAGTGCATTTCACGAATCAAGATTCTTTACATAACATGGGAATAAAAGTACTTCTAAGTCACTGCGTTTGATTCCAATAAGTTATATGTTTAACTTAAACCCACTTGTTTGATATAGTGTAATTTTAAGTCGATAATATTCACCTTACGTGAATTCTTATACATTTATACTCAACAATTTTAGAGATTATAGCAACTCTCCTACAATCAATTTCGATTATGGTTAATCTTGGTTAAGACCTTTTATAAACTTAACAGATAATGTTATTTCAACAGTAACAATTCACATATTTCTTTGTAATATATTACGATCACTATCTTGTCTGTATAAACATGTACGCTTGATCATATGTAACAGCCTGCGGACATATCTCTTTCTAGTTTAAATATTGATAGTTTAAATATCACTCGATAAATCATTCTCTTTGCCATGTATATATGTACTCGGATCTTATTATGAGTCTCTGCCTTGCCTAGATGCGTCCTCATTCGATTTGATCATAAATTCACCTCTGCCTTCGCTCGCACACATATATCTACCTCTCTGCTCAAAATTCGCTCGATTCACTTATAACTTAGTTATTCGTAATCTCCTTTAATAAACTGCAGTCGCTACTTCTTATTACCTTCTAATTTCAAATACCACTGGGATTTATATAATAACATTTACAAAGGTGATTGATTAACGAAACTACGTTACTACTGTGGTGTGTGCTACTTATATTGACATAAGTAGTATATGATATTAGTCGTGAACAGAAGGTCTGGCAGCAGCGAGACAAGAGGATCGAACAGTAAAGGATGGAAACAGGACGCAGTTAGTGTGAGAATGCAAGAACAATGAAGTCTGAGTCATTTTGAGACAATTGGTGGACATTTTGCATATTAAGCATTTACTTTATGATTGTTAGATTTTATTAACAAGTCCTGTAATTTTGTGCTAAATACATTCGATCGTCCCCACCCGTGTTCTGTTCACCACACTACAAGATTTCTGTCAACTTGAGACCGATTCATGGAAATTTAAATCCTATATGTCAATCAATAAGCAACCAGGATTAAGTTCCGTTTATGGATTTTTTTAGACAATAAATCGTTTACAACGCTTAGATTGATTTTTAGAGAAGAAAAAATTGACTAAAATTGTATGATCATATATACACTGGATATTTTACTGAGAAATAAAGGTGAACGTTCTAGTAACTCGACTATGAAAGTGTGACATACATTTCATTTTGAATGATTTTATCGAGTTAAATCGAATTTTAATTTTGATATGGTGTACACTATTGATTCAGTTGATTTTCATAGGTCTCTAAATCAAACATAATGTTTTCACCTAATCCCATTCAATATAAGAATGAAATAAGTAAAGACCATATTGTTTTTCATTTGATGATGACAGAGTTCAAATATGTAAGGAGTGAATCAGTGATTACTAATGATAATGGATGTTTATGACTATATTTCACATTTGAAATTGTAAAATAATGGTTAGGAAGATTAATGGATGCTACAAGACCATGACTACATTGTGCTGAAGCATCTCATATTATGATGAAATCGTTATCCAACTCTTCCCAGTTTTTGAAGAATAATACCTACAGATGATTATAGTTTAAAGTGATATTAGAAATCGGGTTTGAGATATGATCCCTGTTCGTTCCACCCTGGACAAGGCAGATGTTATATATTATTGACCTTGTAAACTCGTAATCAGCAACATTACGTGAATACAGTTGCTATCCTTGTATCTCACAACAAATGAATCAGTTAGCTAGCGGTGACCGTAGTCGTACCAACTGTATTGTTATACTTTTGTAACCAATTAACTAAATAGATCAAGAGTACAATAGGTCGTACAACCCGAATAGCTAACATCACTTCCACAACGAAATAAAATATTGTGCTTCGAAATGTCCTCGTGCATGTTTTTAAAAATTGTACATGCTTTGCTGCATTTCTTTGCTCATTGAATTTAATCAGCTGACATACTGTTCATGGAGAATCCGTGTATCGGAAAACTACAAATTATTACCATTAACTTAATCACAAAATCACCAAGGGTATAGATGAGTTATTCAAGCAGTACAAATATGAACAGCAGATCATATCATGAAAACTTAATATTTTTCAAAAATATTTTCAGGTCTCAATTAGATTACCATTCACACGTAAATCATTTTCTAATGATCTTCTAGAGTTACTTAAATTATTCCCCCAACTTCAGTATGTTCGACTATAGCTACTCTGAATGAATAAAAACACATCAAGTTAACTTTATAAACTGTTGACACAAAAAACACAAAACAATATGAGAAAATTTATCAGCAATATAACATGCTACTTACAAGTAGACGTCAGTATTCTTGTAACCAGTTCATTAATTTGTCCACCATCACTTCCTTTAATATATTGATTAATTAGATTGGTTACGAAATTATTCAATAGAGACTGTATAACACTTTGACCCCAAACCATCAAGGCTCCAAGTATGAGCAATGCCAGCCCTACAATCTTTATTTCAAAAGATTTATAAGTACAGTTGATTAATATTTTGGATGCAAAAATGACACAATCTTATTTCAATATTAAACATTATAGTAACATATCATTATTTTATTTTATATTAACTCCATCTTGAAGTTGAACTGTAATACGAAACTCTATTTACTTATTACTATCTAACTCAATAGAACACAACATTAAAAGTAAGCGAATCCTTTCATTGAAATGACTAAAACAATCTTTTTTAAAGATATAAGTAATTTAAATTCACCTTATGTTGTTTGTTTGCATCAGGCTCTTGTTGGAATATGTGCATCTTGTATGGATTGCCTCGATATTGCTTTAAGTCACAAGCTTTATAACCAGAAATGGATGGTGGCTGAACGTGGAATCCAGGATGCGTGTGGATAACGCGATGGCATTTGAAGCGAACGGTACTGGGTTAGAGTCTCGAAGTTAACATCAACTCTGGAATGCAGGTACATTCAACTGAGAAGACTCAAATAGGATGAAACGCTCATCCTGGATTCCACTGATAGCCACATCTATCTTCGCTTATATAGGTAATTTATTCAGGATTAAATAAAAACAAATCTTCCCAACACTTTTTATATTTAGATACTTACCAAAATATTTACAATGTTTATGAACAGTAATATGCTGTTTCTATCCCTTATTCAAGATATTTCTGTTGTATACTGAACTTAATAACATGTTTGTATATGAATAAAACTAAAGTTTCCATGAATCGGTCTGACTATGGTTTACATATTATACAAAGAACAAAAAGATTATGATTCATGGAATTTTTTCCACCAAAAAGAATTCATGAACCATATAATCATTCAGTCATAGACATTATATAATCTAATATAACTGTATAACAGTTTAATTTGTTATTACTCACACTAACATAGTGAGAGAAGAAGTGTTTAACATGAGAATTTAGAAAGTGGAAATGATAACTTATTTTGAATGATATCTCTTATTACTTCCATTAATAGAATTTGATTGTTCGGTTGTTCATAAGCAAGATTTCTACATTTACATTGACGTGTAACAGACCAATAGCTAATGACTTTATGAGCTGATGCCATGTTTATGGTTTACTGTTTTATCCTTATTTCAACCTACTTCTACACCAGCCAATATCATTTACTATGGCAGAGCATAATGGTTATAAGCAAGATCAGCAACAGGCATTTTTAATCTTTAAAAACTGATATTTCTTATTGTAGTAGTAGTCATGATAAATCGTATGAAAATTACTCATTTTTTGGAAATAAGTTAGACTTATTTAATGCTTATATAATCGTCTTGTGATAATCGTGAATTGATTGAGCTTATACACTAACATCGTTGGACGTTGGCTCAGTGGTCTGGAGGTTAAGAGTTCACGTGTGAGACTCAAGGTCCTGGATTCGAGTCTCATGGGTGGGGTTATGAACGTATATTGTTGTGGAGTTTCATACTACGACGAAATGGTCGTCTAGTGTTTACAAGTTTTCAATGATGATCTATTTTAGATCAGTCCATCATTTCAATGAAATCATAAAACTATATAGACTCTACTTCATGAAACTTATTATTTAGTATACAGACATGTAAAAACAATAACAAAACTAGAAAATTATTCTAAACAATAAACAAATTGTAAATGTTTATCACAAATGTTGTATCTTTCTATAAACCCTGATTAGACATTGATCATCTATTTCACTGAATAATTAACAATAAAATCATTGTATAAATATGATTGAAAAAGTTAATTTAAGGTCAACAATAATCATTTGATGAATAGAATAACAATCATTTACATTAGGAATTAAACAAAATGTGTACACTATTATTAAATTTATTATTGAAATGTTCCAGAACATCATTATGACATTAGACTAATTAATACTTACAGTTGATTGATTATTGGGTGGTGATCAATTGCATGTACGTCAGGTCCTTCATAGTGAGGATTGAATCTTATCGAATAAGTTGCAATGTGGACACCAGTCTAGGTGACTTGACATTGTATGCACTATTTTGATATAAGATGGTGGTTGAAGGTTTCTCAACAAGAAACCCTAAACCTAGGTTTCAGGCTGCTTGGCACTCGTCAGAAAGGTGTACCTTTAATCTTCAGGGGAATGATGCTTCCTGACGAATTCGATCCCGTGTCACTCAGCTTCACGGTCATATACAATAATACACAGACATACATGACATTGATCACCACTCAATCAATTGTAAACACATCTCAGTCCTACAGAAGGTCAGTCGTGGCCCGGATAGCTCAGTAGTAACGTCTCTGACTGTGAATCTGGGTGATACGGGATCGAATTCATGAGGGAGCATCAGTTCCCTTAAGATTACAGGCACGCCATGCTGACGAGTGCCAAGTAGCACAAAACCTAGGTCCAGGATTTACTGTTGACTACCTTCAACCACCATCTTAATTAATACTTGCCAACTTCATTGTAGTTATAGAGTTATTTCTATTGTTAAACAGTTGGTTTCCTTCCCAACTTAGTGTTACTGATTTTGTAAAATGTTATTTTACTCAAAAAGAAAGTTTCTATTGTGAAATAATCTCATCAGTTGAATAGTTACTGAAAACTGTTTCACTAATGTTTTGGATTAATCATTCATAAATTATGTGATTTACAGTATGTGATATTACCGCTGAGCTGTTTGTTCAGTGACTAACTTCCTGATACAGTTTCATCTACTAGCCTGTGAACTGCATTATTTATGTAAGAAATAATGATACTACTACTAATTGATTGTTTAAATCGAGTTAGGTAAGCCTAAATTATAATATGAGATTTAATGAATGATAACCAAGTGCTCTGATCACCAAGCTATCGCTTTCGTTTTTTTTCAGGTAAGTCAACATCATAGGGACTACTTTTTAAATGTTAGATAGATGTTGATAGTCTGCTGTTCAAAAGTGACCTTTTATTTTTATTGAATACATAGGTAATGTCATTCCATAATTTTAAAAAAATACTATTCGTCGTAATGATAATATCTCCACCCGTTACCCTTTTGATCATTATCTTTCAATCGGAACTATTTACAAATAAACAGGTTTATATTGTTCAATCAATATCAGTTCACTTTGTTTTTGTACTGTGATAACATTTCAAGATAACTCCGCCTGGAGTCCCTCCCGGGGGCTACTGCCGGTCCCAAGCCCGGATAAAGGAGGAGGGTTGGGCATGGGGTTAGCGACCCATCCTGTAGAAAACTAACTCACTAAAAAAACGCTAATCAGAAAAAAATTACTCAAACCCAAACATTTCAAGATATATCTGAAAACAAGAAATATTTGGGTAAACAACTGTTTTTAACAACTTCAACCATCCTTCTCTATTGTTCTAAAAACACAAATATTACGTAACAATAGCCAAAATAAGGCATATAATAATAAGTGAACTAGACAATGTTATATTGTCAAAATAGTGAACTTTTGAATATTTCTTCTGAGAACTACAATCCATAGATCTTTGTATCACTTTGATTTGTTATTGAATGAAGTGTATGACAGAGCATATATATATATGCATGAGACTTACCAAGCTGACAGTGTTCATAGCAATCAAAACAATTCGACATGGTAGATTGCACAACATTTTTCTCTTTGTATAAAAATGAATTAATTACCTATAAAGAATAACATAAAAGTGATTAATGTGAAGAAATGATTCTGTCATTTTTAAAGAGTATTAACAAATCAAAATGAAATATTTCCAGTGATGTTCAGTCTTTAGAAAAAGAACACTTTATACTGACAAGGTGTAACTCCTACTTTATAATTGAAATGATGAATCAATCAATGTTAGACCACCATTGAAAACCTGGAAGCATTGGACAGTTGCTTCGTTTTAGTATGGGACTTCTCAGCAGTGTATATCTATGATCCCGCACGTGGGATTGGAATTAAGGACCTTCGGTTCATAACCCTATCCTATTTTATGCTTCAATAAACTAAATTATCATAAATTATCATTTTCATATGTATATAGTTGAAGGATATTGCTGTTGAGATTTCTGAAAATTTTCACTGTTAACAAATATCTAAATTTATTCTTTGCCTGGTCTGAGGCCACCTCCTGGAATTCTGCCTAAGAATGATGAATCAAATGGTTAATATCTTGCGTTCTGTAACATGTGCTTGATTGAGGAGATTGAGCACATTATTTAACTTTTTAAATTATTTACCATATCCATTCAAATAATACAAGATATTTATTATTTATTTGAACATACAAACAACGGTACGAGGGGGCACCAAATACATATGCACCACACAATAACAATGAGGCTAGCAGTAATCATTGATTTGTGTGAGGGCTGTGATACTGCCCGTGTGCCCAGACCGAAGTAGGTGGTTTTCTTAGGGGGCCACACCCCGAGCCTATGACCTGAAAGTATAGTTCACAAGGCAGTGAGGCAACGTCAGTCCCATGGTAGCCTGTGACCAACAATTGGTTCATACGCCACTTGTTCTCTCAGGCTCCTGGAGTACATGTGTGCAACTGGTTTGAAATCAGGGTTTTCCAACTCCCCTAAGTGAATTCACCATATTCACCACCCCAGTTAAAGCACCGGACATTCACTTTTCGTCCTCTCAATTTCATATACAGCATCCGCTCCGCAAGAAGGCAATAGGACTCCCGTGGTAGTGGCTGCACACGCGTGACCGTAAGAGAGCATTTGGAGAGGGAGAGCTGACTCTCCCCACTGTCAGCCGTACTAGAGCATTTGGGGGCAATAAAGATGTACAGTGAATTGAAGAAGTTCTAGTTATTCACAATATAAACTATACATGAAAACAGTTGTTTGGAAACTTTTCTTTAACATGACCTTAGCAACTAGGATTGAGTGAAGAAATTTAAATATAAAGAGAAATAAGGCCCAAGGGAATTAATCCTTTTACCTGACCTGTAGATTTTAAAATCAATAACCATTTTTATTGAACTCATAACATAGTTTATCTTTTCTTAAAGATTCTCTGAGAGAACTTTACATTTTCATTCATTGATCATACAAAAATATACACCATCTTTATTTGACCTTAATTTCTTACAATCTTGGTAAAAGGTTATAAGCAAACGCACAATCAATCAGACTCATAATACTTAAAATCGAATTATTAAGTTGATAAATGAGAAAACGAGAACAGTCATAGTGAAAATTTCTTTGAATAATTCAATTTTGAACAGTTTAAAAGACATACAGACCGGTTATTACAAAAAAAAGATTAGCCAGTATAGAACTATCCATATCACTGTTGCTTAGGTTATCAGATAGTTAGTTGGTTCAGCCCAAAGGTAACAATGTGTACACTTTAGAAAAGATAGAATATAAATACTATATTATTATTATTGTTATTATTACCATTATCAAACCATCCCATCGGTAAAATGTTTTTCTCTCCCCCTCCCTCCCTCCCTCCCTCTCATTCTATCACTTTTTAATCATATTTTATAAATAATAATAAATAAATAAACAATAAGAGATACATTAATTCTTATTTTAACTTCCCTTTTCATGTATGTTAATTGTTGCCTTTGTTTGTATATGTATGTGAATGAGTTAAGTGTATAACTGTGTTACATATGAATTTTAATGGGATTTATATTAAAAAGCAAACAAAGATAATGTAAATTCTAGAAATGAGTTTTATTATTTTTTTGTTGTTGAGTTTTATTAAACAAAACAATTTTTTGCCAACCAATAAAAATCAAACAATCCACCTTAGCAACATAAACCTTACCTACCAATAAAAATACTGTGTATATTTATGTGTAGGGAAAGTGTAACTAAGGTTAATTTGTTGTTTCGTTCCATAACAAAAAAAATGCATTTATAGTAACATCTTAAAATATGGACTGCTCTAACCAACTTGGGGAACCATTGACCAATATGTTATTTATCATATGATCAATATTTGTATTTTATGATTGAGATCATGAACTGATTGATGCTAGACCACTGTTGGAAACCTGAAAGCAGTGGACGGCCGTTTCGTCCTATTGTAGGACTCCTCAGTAGCGCGCATCCACGATACCGCTCAAGGGACTCGAACCTAGGGCCTTCAGTCTCGTGTGGGAGCGCTCAACCTACTGGACCACTGAGCTGGCCGGCATCCAGTGATGTTAGTGTCTAACATCAACCAATTCACGAAATCGAGTAACCATCTTCCATTGTACTGAGGTAGATACCTGTCTCTACGCGACACAGATTAGCTCCATTGGTCACGGCTTCTCACTAGAACTCCGATAATTCCCTCATGAAGCTAGTCACTAGTGAGCACATAATTTTTATTTTAAGTGTAGTTCAGATCAGAGAACTTTTTACAATTCACAAGGGAAGATAAGAAAAGTGAATGGGATATGGATGACACTTGGATACAACTACAATTATAATAACTAATATTGTTAGTATTCTTATAAGTATTGGTATTATTATTAACAATAGTAGTAATGTTCTCATCCTAATTGTAATTAGAACAAAAAAACCAAGTTCATTTTCTTGTTCCTCACAAAATGGTCTCGTGATTTTTATTACATTCATTTCTTTCTTGTTTGTACTATTAAAGTATTGTTTCTTTTTCTTTCCTGCTCGCTTTTACTATTCAATGTAAGTTCACTATAAAATGCAATATTGTAATGCAATAGCCACCCCCCACCGTCAAGATTAGTGTGATGAAACAATGAAAGTGTATAACAATTAATTTGTTAAAATAAAAAGGTTCATTGAATGAATAGTTGAACAATTAATTCACACGTTCATATGTACATGTATGTCGAGAGAGAGAGAGACAGAGAAAGAAAGGAAGATAGAGACTTGAATGGTGAGGGAATTGCATTAATATCGCCTTCGCTTACAAATATTTAATACGAAGTCCTACTTTTAGCATAAACATCAACATAAAGATGGAGGTATATACAACTGACGAGGTACAAATAGAACCAAACATGTATATTGGATTCCATTACTAGTCAAATCTATCCATTCCATAGAAATTGTAATCGTCATTGTCACTAATCATCTACACATTGTTAGTTGAAATACCTTTGATTGACTGATGAAGTTCTTTTTTTTTAAAAAGTCAATCCTCAAGATGACGTTTAATTGCCTTCATGTTAACTATGAAATTAATGACATATAACGAATACTAAAACAAAGTATCTATTATTTCTTAAAATATGACTATTATTAAATGGGCATAGAAAATTTGTGGAGATGGCTGAATTTTCATAATTTACATCAAAGACCGATCTTAGTTAGATGACCACTGAAAGCTAAGAACCACTGGACTCCTCATTAACGGTCTAAGGATAAGAGCTTTGTCATGAGACTTGAAGGTCATGGGTTCAGTCACCTATGGAAGAGTGACTTATGTTCACCATTGAAGAATTTCACAGAGCACCAAAATAATCACCCAATTCTTCCTGATTTCTAGTAGTTGTCCATCTAAGATCAGTCCGCGGTGTTAACCATGTTATTGAATTCTAAAATATTCAATTGCCGTTCTTTTTTAAAAAAGAATATAATTTGTCCTCGCAATGCTTCATCGGAGTCTTAAGAAGTAAAAAAGAATTGATACAACATTTTTGTTTATCGTACACATAAATATCGTAAACTGATATATAATTGTATTTATTCAGTAAGAGACACTAATCTATTAATTTATGAAGATACCACCGTGTAGATAATTTTTAAACATGATTCGGTAATTCAACGAATTTCACTGGAATAAACTATAAACTTGAGTTACTGTAACTCAGCGGTATATTTAGATTTATCAATATCTAGTTTTGTTTAGTGGATTAACTTGTTTTCACGATTATGTTATTACTAGTCGTTATCAACTACTGCTCACATTAGGTATAAGTACATCTAGTGTGATTTCGAAGTCTTTGGTTAATGTTATCTCACATTCTCTTTCCTTCTAGATGTAACTCGAGATTAAATATAGACCCATTAATACCTAGAAGTCATCCTATTAATTAGCGACGTGTCACGCCATAGACAGTAATTGAAGTGAAGTAGTCGACTAGTAGAGATTCATTATCATTCTAATCCTAAAGTAGAATATATGGATTATGAAAATTTAATTGTATTGTATTATCTATTAATTAATTTTTATAGAATACTTAATGGTATAATAATAGACAACAGAAACAACCTATGAAGCAATTAATGGCGAGACTATAGTTTGTGGACGAACCAATCAGATTTACAATAACAAGTAGATTTTTGCTCGAAATTCATTCACCCATTTAGCTAGAATATTGGCATTATAGCTGATGTCAATTCGTGATGAAAACCCTAAATCTAATTCCTAACCATCAACTATAAATTATAATCCTTATTCCTCAAACTGCTCTATAAACCTCATTTAGCTCTAGTAAGTGGGTAGACACTATCAAGGTGATTTTATTGTCGATCAAAGATCGTTCATAAATTATAGTCTTAGCTAATTAATAGTGCAAGAATAAAGAATTGAGCAGAATAACATAAATTCATTTTATTTCGTCAGGTTCTCATCAGCTGTTTACAATCTAGAATATTTAAACTTAAATCTTCTCTGATATATTATATTCATTTCCAACACTCATTATATTGTGTTCACACGCACTACTTCATGATGA